TATTTAGTGTGCACATCTAATAAGGCAATTCGATCACTTGAAACTTCCATACAACTCTCTTCCTTCCATTGCTTATAACACAAACATTACACAATCACCACAGCACGCTCCATAAGCGACTGAAGAGTGAAGTATGTGATTCGCCCATTTATTTTCTAATCAACAGGCACATCTGAGAGCTTTCATTTCTAATATGCTAACGTTTACAACTCATTCAACAACTATTTGTTGAACACCCTGTGTTTATTAGACATCAAGCAGTGGGGAGGACAGTTTGAGGAAAAATGTCAATCAATGTACATTAACCCTTATTACTATAGAGAAGAGCTGAGAGCTAATACTAGTACATACTCATGATATGCCAGCACCATGCTAACTACCCTAACACGCATCACCTGTGAGCGGACTATTAGTATTATTATCTCTATCTTACAGATGAGAAAAACAGATTCTGAAAGGTTCAGTAAGCTGCACATGTCACTTGGTTGTGAAGTCTGACTTTAAAGTCTGTTTTATAAACCTAAAGCCACAGCTGGCCCAGTCGTGCAATACCCTGACCACGGTGTAGTGTGCAGGATAGCTTCAGTCTGTATCTTCAGCCCTGATCAATGTCTCTTCAAATTCGGGACATCCGCAGGGAATACCTCTAGGAGTATGTGTTCAACCTAAATCCATGGAACTCCCAATCATGAAGACAGAGAAAAAGGTATTGTTCTAGCTAATGTGAGAGCGGCTCACTCCCCCATGATCCCTCCTGAATCTACAGTTCATGGAATTGAATCCTACAGTTGAAAATGACCAGTAGAAACCGCTCGTCCTGCATTCGAATCCACCAAAATTCAACCCTGACCTAATATTCCAATTTTATCTCTTATACCTCACCATACAAAACCTCTACGAGTCAAGGCTGCTCCACTCTGTGTCTCCCAGTTTTCTCTCTTCGCCAGGTGTTCCCCCCTTACAGACACTGCAGCCTCCTGTACATTTCAGTCTCTGCGCCAGGCATTATCTGAACTCACCTGAATAAATTATAAATAGAGGCAAAACTTTTTAAATATTGATGATGATAATAACTACCACTTAAAGGGCCTTTTGGGGGCCAATCACTTACTTGGCATAATATGATTTCCCTTTATCTTTACAATGATCCAGTGAGGAAGACATCATCACTCCCCTTTTACAGAGAAATGGAACCAGAATCAAAAACTTGGGCAAGGGGTGCCTGGGTGGCTGTCAGTTAAGCATCTGCCTTCCGCTCAGGTCATGATCCCAGGAGCCTGGGATCGAGCCTGCATCAGGCTCCCTGTTAAATGAGGAATTTGCCTCTCCCTCTCCCCAGTCCTGGCTCATGCCCTCTCTCGCTCTCTCGCTCGCTTGCTCACTCTCTCTCTCACTCACTTGCTCCGCACTCTCTCTCTCCAATAAAAAATTAAATCTTTAAAAACAAACTTGGGTTCACTAGCACTGATGCTTGCACTCTTTCTTTGGAGTGAAACTAATTTTACTAAGAAGGTACATTCCCCTACAGGATTTATAACAGGGCAGTCACAAGGAAAAGTCTGTTTCCTTAAAACAGTCAAACACAGGAAGGAAACAGCAGGCAGAAACAAGAAACAACTATCAGGAAGAAACGTGAATGAGTGTGGACCTCACACAGCAGGGATTAGCAAATTTTCTGCAAAGGACCACAGAGTAAATGTTTTAGGTTTTGGGGGCCAGTCTCTTAAGTAACTAGTCAACTCTAGCACCAAAGTGCAAAAGCAGCCACAGTCAATATATAAATGAGTGGGCATGGCTATGTTTCAATAAACCTTTATTTATAAAAATGGGCTTTAAGCTGGATTTGACTCTGAAGGCCATAGTTTGTCAACAGTTCTGCCATATGGTATTCAGATGATGGCTGGCAGATATCGGGCAAATTACTTAACCTCTCTGAGCTTCCATTTCCTCCTCTATTACAGGATAATATTTCTGACCACGTAGAATTAAGACAATTAACTCAAGATAACATATCCACTGTACCCGGCATATACAAGGCATTCAACAAATCAGTAGCAATTACTGATTCTAGTCTGGAGCAGGAAATGTAAAAGTAAGCCTAAGACATCATATCGCATAAAAACAAACAAAAAACACACACAGAAAGACATTTCGGCCCACTCGTCAAAATGGGACATTCTGGGCATCAAAAAGAATAACAACTGTTATTGTATGTCAACTACACTTCAAAAAAGAAAAAAAAGAAAAAAGAAAAAAAAAAAAAGAATAGCAACTGCCATGGATTGCAAAACATTAACTGGGATTACCAGTTCTGGCCATGGCAGAATTAAAGGTACTGAACTTACCCTCCTCCCATAAATACCTATAAAACTGAAAAAATATACGAAAGCAACAGACAGTATAAGGCTGTGATACTTAAAAGAAAGTAAAAAGTGTGAAAATGAGAGCACAAATGATGGGAATTTAAATAGAAATATACTCTTATAAGGTTCTTTCATTACCTGTGACATGGTGAAATAAGAATTCAAAGTACACTGTGATAAATTCAAATGCATATTACAATCTCTAGAGCAACTACTAAAAAAATAAGTAGAGCTAAAAACCAACAGAAGAGATCAAACAAAATAATAAAAAATTATTCAATCTAAGACAGGAAAGAAGGAGGAAAAAAATAGTCAGACAAATAAAAAACAAATAACAAGATAGTAGACTTCAACCCAACAGTACAGTTACATTAAACATCAATAGACTAAACTCCCCAATTAAAAGATAGAGATTGTCAGACTGGATTAAAATAAAAACAAAAAAACAAGTCCCTACTATACACTGTTTACAAAGATAGGTTAATCTGACAATACCCAAATCTACTGATCCAACTTTATCATAACTAAAAGTGAAATAACCAGATATCATGCACCAATGACAGGAAGTACACATCACCACCTACGAAATACTTCTGCCAAGAAAACTGACCTGAATCTAATTAAGCTTCAAGAGCTAACCATCAGTTTATAGGACTATAAAAGATAGGAAGTATGTTCAAAAATAGCATGAGGGGCACCTAGATGGCTCAGGAGGCTAAGTGTCTGCCTTCAGCTCAGGTCATGATGCTGGGGTCCTGGGATGAGCTCCACATTGGGCTCCCTGCTGAGTGGGGAGAGTGCTTCTCCCTCTCCCTCTGCCCCTTCCCCCAGATCATGCTCTTTCTCTCTTTCAAATAAATTTTTTAAAAAACTTTAAAAGTCCACAAACAAAGAGCACGAGGATGCTATTAATCGAAGGCAGAATATGCTTCTCCAGGATAAATGATCTGGCTTGTTCTACAAATAAAAGATATTGGTTGGGGGTGAAAGAGGGGAGATGCAAACTGTTACAGATGAAAAGAGTATTTAAAAGCAGAGTTTTCTCCTATTGGTAGCAGAAGAGGTCAGAGATTTGAAGAGTAAGAACTCACTATGTCATTACTGATTTAAATGGTGAGGGAACATAAGAAAAAAAGTGGGTGGCCATGAGGAACAGAGCTGACAGCCTACAAGAAAACAGAGATCTCAAACTTACAACCACAAGGAACTGCAGGCATTCTGTTAACCACCTGAACAAGAGACTGAAGCAGATTCTTCCTCCAGATAAGAACCCAGTCTGGTCAACACCATCATTTTGAGCTTCTGAGACACTAACTAGGGAGCCCTGCCAAGCCTCCCTGGACTTCTGACCACAGAACCATTAGCTAATAAATGAGTGCTATTTTAAATAACTAAATGTATGGTCATGTGTTATGCAGCCATAGAAAACTAATACACAGGGGCACCTGGATGGCTCAGTTAAGTGGCCGATTCATGATTTTGATCCCAGGGTCTTTGATCCCACGGCTCAAAGATTAAGCCCTGCGATGGGCTCTACACTTAGCAGGAGTCTACTTGAGATTCTCTCCCTCTGCCCCTTCCCCCACTCACGTTCTCTTTCTCTAAAATAAATAAATAAATCTTAAAAAAAAAAAAAAAAGGAAAAGAAAACTAATACACAAGGCTTATAAAACCTGGCCTTGGGGCGCCTGGGTGGCTCAGTGGGTTAAAGCCTCTGCCTTCGGCTCAGGTCATGATCCCAGGGTCCTGGGATCGAACCCCACATCAGGCTCTCTGCTCGGCAGGGAGCCTGCTTCCTCCTCCCTCTCTCTCCGCCTGCCTCTCTGCCTGCTTGTGATCTCTGTCTGTCAAATAAAATAAACAAAATCTTTAAAAAAAAAACCTGGCCTTAACTTCTTTGCCCTAGCTGTCCATGCTACTGTAATGAAGAAAATGTAAATTCACTTAAGATTGAACATTTTCCAGGACTCCTGGGTGGCTCAGTCAGTTAAGTATCTGCCTTCAGATCAGGTCATGATCTCAAGGTCCTGGGATGGAACCCCACATCAGGCTCCCTGCTCAGCAGGAAGTCTGCTTCTCCCTCTCCCTCTGCCCCTCCCCGCTGCTTGTGTGCACTCACACTCTCTCTCTCAAGTGAATAGATAAAATCTCTAAAAAAAAAAAAAAAGACTGAACCTTTTCCTAAATCCAGGAAAAGTTTTAGTTGTGATGCATTTTCCTCATCAAAGGTCCAAAAAGTATATCAAAACTGCCTGATGCAGTGACTGTCAAGTGTTTAGTAAAAATGAACGCCCCCATCTTGAACTCCTTTATTATTTATAAGTCACACATACAGGGCACCTAACAAGTACATGTGGTACTATACAGTCTCACTCAGAACTATATCAATAGATTCTATAGGCAAAATTTAAGCTAATAAAAAGTAAAGTTTCTAAGACTTCTCTTCTTTATATTCTACTAAAACACTTGGCATGGCCCCAAACATACATTAGGCATTAAAAGAGAAAAACATCTGTCAGACTGAACTAAGTATTTATATATTGGATTAGCCTTGAATCATCCTCAAATGAGCAAGAGTTCTCAAGTACACACAGGGACCATAGTTAAGGGATGAGACCAAGACAAAAGTAGCCTTACCTTTACATCTGGCACCTGGGCACCTAGGCTGCTGAGTCCCACGATGGAGTAAAAAGCAGATTCCAAACTTGTGAAAGGGCGATCCAGTGAGGCTTTCAGTCTCTCCACATCTGCCTTGGTGAGGTAGTGAGTGGGCGTCAGAGCCTGGGTGCTGGCTATGATTGTCAGGGCCAACAGGAAGACAGTGCTTGAACCTTGGGGGGAAATGACTATTAAACACAATCCAAATGATTCCAAAGTTCTATATACAGTTCCAACGATGGTGTGCATCAAGGTCTGGGAAACAAATCATGTGAGGAAGAGGAAGGTAAATGGGAGGTTTAACTGGGAGAGAAGTCCTGGGAAAATGGTGGGCACTGTCTTCATCCATCTGAAGGACAGTCCTCCCAGTAGCCTGTGTGGCTAAAGCACAGGACCCAGCATGCCATTCCGATTTCAAATACATTTGTAACTCCTATGCCTCTAAGACAGAGGCCTCACCTGCCTCTCACCAGATTTCTTCCTTCACTTACTCTTCCCTCCATCTGTGGCTCTCTGGACCCTTCTCTAACTCTCTAACAAGTCATGTTGTACGCTACACAGAACTTTTTCATGCTTTCCCTTACTTCAACTTCCAACTTTTTTTTTACTCTCTGATTTCAGTTCAAGTATCTCTTCCTCAAGAAGTCTCCCCAACAGCCCTTCCTTGGGTTAGGTCACCAGTACTATGAAGTACTAAAGAATGTGACCTCTGAGGCCAGGTTTAAATACTAGCTTTGCCTGGATGCCCCGGTGGCTCAGTCAGTCGGCTCAGTGTCGACTCTTGGTTTTGGCTCAGGTCATGATCTTGGGGTTGAGACTGAGACCCTCACCACACTCTGCACTGGATATGAAGCCTGCTTGCACACTCTCTAAATAAATAAATATATACATACTTTGAAAATAAATAAATAAATCCTAGTTCTGCCATTTATTAGCAATATGGCTCTGGCAGTTACAATGTGGCCAGTCTGTCCTCGATCTCCTCAAGTGTAAAGTGGGATAATAACAGTACCCACCTCAGGGGTGTAATGAGGATTACAGGAGTTAACAGAGAAAGATCTTAGAACAGCGACTGGCTTGTAACAAGAGCTACATGTTAGGTACTTCTATTACCATCACTACTGTTGTTGCTATATTCATGCATAGCAACCTGAACTTCTATGTAGTCTTTTTCAGAACTATAATTCATAATGTAATGTCTGATTCCTCTGCTAAACTGTAAGTTCCAAGAGGAGAGACAGTTTCTTTTATACAACCCAGTATTTCCAAGTATTAAACATTCCTTGGCATGTAGTAGTACTGAATTAATATTTGCTAAGTAAGTGGAAAGAAAAATTAATCCTTGTCTATGACGCTCTAGGAGACAGGAAGCAGTTATGAGTGGTACATTCTCTGGGCTGCTTCACGAATTGACTGCCATCCAATTAACACAACAGTATCCACCACCACCTCCCCCCCAACTACCCACCTTATCCATACTCCACAGTTTCAGTTACCCACGTTCAGCCATGGTCCAGTATTGTCAGGTCAGGTCAGTAGTAGCCTAATGCTACATCACAATGCCTACGTCATTCACCTTACTTCATCTCATCATGCAGACATTTTATCACATAGGCATCTATTATCAAGAAGGGTGAGTACAGTACAAGATATTTTAAGAAACCACATTTTATTACAATATCTTGTTATAATTGTTCTTTCATTATTAGTTATCATTGTCAATCTCTTACTGTCCTAACTTATAAATTAAATTTTATCATAGTTATGTATGTATAGGAAAAAAGCACAATATATGTAAGGGTTCAGTACTATCTGCAGTTTTAGGCATCTACTGAGGATCTTGGAAAGTGAGCCCTGCAGATAAGGGAGCACTACTGTAATTGCAAGGCTAATGGTAATGGTACTAAATCCTCTGCTCACGGTGTCAAATTTAGTTTGAACTAGAATCCCTCAAGAAAGGCATTATTAAGGGGGAGCTTGCCGGGCTCCGTCGGTGGAGCATGTGACTCTTGATCTTGCAGTGTGAATTCAAGCCCCATGTTGGGCAAAGATTACTTTAAAAAAAAAAGGCATCATTATATCTATTTTACAAATAAGATAACTGAGAACAAGAGTACCTTACAAACGATCTTGGACTCAAACTTAAATCTAACTATATAGTTTACACTCCACTATTTTTTGGGAAATTGTTGTAGAAACAATGGCTATATTACCGGTACCTCAGAATTGTTCTTCTATGAAGGCTAGTTCTATTTAAATCCTTGTATGTGTTAAATAATCTAAAGAATGTGGAAGTTCTTTTTAAAACACTAGAAAGGGATCTATAGTGTGCAGTATTCAATTATAAAATATTTACTGAATGCTTGCCAAGAACTATTTTTGGTATTAAAAATAAAGCAGGGGGGTGCGCCTGGGTGGCTCAGTCAGTTAAAGCCTCTGCCTTCGGCTCAGGTCATGATCCCAGGGTCCTGGGATAGAGCCCCACATCAGGCTCCGCTCAGCAGGAAGCCTGTTTCCTCCTCTCTCTCTGCCTGCCTCTCTGGCTACTTGTGATCTCTGTCAAATAAATAAATAAATAAATAAATAAATAAATAAATAAAATACTTTTCTTTTCTTTTTTTTTTAATTAATAAATAAATAAATAATAAAGTAAGGGCACCTGGGTAGCTCAGTAGGATAAGCCTCTGCCTTCAGCTTAGGTCATGATCTTGGGGTTCTGGGATCGAACCCCGATCGGGCTCCTTGTTCAACAGAGCCTCTTCTTCACTCTCCTTCTGCCCTACCTCCCTCTCATGCCATCTCTTGTACTCTCTCTTGTGCTCTTGCAAAAAAGTCTTTAAAAAAAAAAAATCATTATCATGTTATAAGGTGAAAAGTACTATGGAGAAAAATTAAGCACAGAAGAGATCTGAGAAAAGCTACATTTTATTTTATTTTTTAAAAGATTTTATTTATTTATTTAGAGAACACACACAAGGGCGGGAGAAGCAAAGGGAGAGGGAGAAGCTGGCTCTCTACGAAGTAGGGAGCCCAACTCGGGGCTTAATCGCAAGACCCTGGGAACATGATCTAAGCCAAAGGCAGATGACTAACAGACTGAGCCACCCAGGCACTCCAGAACGATGTTAAATATGGTAGTCTATGAAGATCTAACTAAGAAATAAAGTGATTGTGTGTAGACCTGAGGGAAAAGAAGGGAGTGTCACAAAGATATTTGGGGGGAAACTACCCCAAGAAGAAAAGCAAGTGCAAAGACCCTGTATATATGGTATTCTTTGACATTAGCAAAGTGTAAAGTACAGCTAGAGTGGCATAAGCAAAGGGTGAAAAGTATGGAAGAGGCAACAGAGGTAGCAGAGGCAAAATATGAAGGGCCTTTTAAACCTCTGTAGGGACTCTCGCTTATACTGAGATGGGACCCAACAGAAAGTTTTGAGAAGAGGAGTGATTTGACTTACAATTTAACAGGATCATTGTGTTGAGAATAAATAAAACTGTGTTGAGACTAGGCAGGAGAAAGAACCTGAAGAGGGTCACCAATTAGTAATAATCCAAGTAAAAAGATGATGTGGTCACAGCCAGAGTGACAGCAGTAGAGATGAGAAGTGGTCAGTCTGGCTAGAATTCAAAGTCAAAGTCAGAACTGCTAAAGAATAGAAAAATGTAAGAAAAAGAGGAGCCAAGATACTAATGCTGAATTCCAGTGCCTTGTATACATGCATGTACTCAATAGATTAAGATTTAGTAAATGACAACTGGCATTTCCCCAGCTAGACTATAAATTCCCCTAACACAGCATCTGTGTCAGAATTCTAATCCTTCCACCTCGATTTAATAGCAACAACATTTTTGGCTAAAATTGAGCACTTAACATGTGTGGGGTATGCCCATACTATGCTAAGTAGCTGGCATGCACTGAGTCATTAAATCTTCACAACATCCAAGCGAGTGTAGTTTACATAGCAAGAAACTGAGACTCTACTAGGAGTTAACTCCCTAAGACACATAACTGACAATCAAAATGCAGGCCGTCTGAATACAGTTTGCTTTTAACCACTCTATTACCCTCAACTTTTTCAAAAATGGAGCAATGACCCACTGTCTTATTCACTATCTTGGGCAAGTTACTTTTGTTCCATGAAATTTTGTCTTCCTGTCTGTCAAACGTACATAATAGTACACATTCCCCACGCCGCGGTGAGACTACATGAGGGTCCATCGTGTACAGCACCCGCTCCATAACTAGCAATGCGGTTAACTTTATTGATGCTTGCGTAGCGCCGTGCACTATTCTCAACTATGCACGGGGCTCAGCTCATTTAATACAGCAACTTATGCGGCAGAAAATGTGACTAACCTAGTTTACAGATCAGAAACTGAGGTGCAGAGGGGTTAAGGAACTTGGACCGGATCACATAACGAATACTTGGCACACTACAAGTTTGGACCAGGATAATCTAACTTCAGGATTTATACTCTAAGCTCCCAGAGAGGTGAGTGATTTCCTTGCTCCTTTTTACTGAAAAGGAGGCCACGGTCGACGTGGCCAAAAGCTCACTCGTAGGCCACCCGGCCACGGAGACTCCGCGAGTCAAATGAATGAGTGAAGCCACACCTAAGGTTAACCGCGGCCCCCGGCTGGGCCTCGGGGGCACCCGTAGCTCCGCGCCGCACTGGCACCTACCCCACCTCCACTCGCCCGCAGTCCCACCCGCTCGCCGGCCCTCCGTCACACACTCGACCCCAAAAGAGCCCGAGCCCGAGCCCATGCCCCTGCCCCACAGGGGAAGAGGCTCCCGCGTGGCCGGCTCCCGAGTGGCGAGCACTAGCCTCCCGCGGGCTACGGCCCACTCGCCAAGGCGTGCCGGCCGCGGGACCCCGTCGTCGAGCCATGCACAACGCCTCACCCGGCGACGCCATTCCTCCGAGCAGGTCCCACCACCAGGGCCCGAGCCGCAGGCTGACTTCCGCTCGGGGAAGTGGCTCCAAGAGCGCGCCGGAGGGGACGCCAGGGACTCGCGGCAGGCTGCGCGTGCTGGGATGGGATCTAGGCACAGGTCAGTCTCCGCCGTCCCACTGGGTCGACCCGGTCCCAGCAGGCCGCAGCCCAAATTCCAGTTCCCGCGCGAAAGGGCGACGCCGTCCTCGCGTACAGGCCCGCCTCCCTCCCCCCGCGACCTGGACCACTTGGAACCGGCCGCCTCGCAACCGTCCTAATCCGGGTGCTATCAGTACGCGGTTGGACGAGGCTTCGGGGTGGGCCTCAAACGGGGCCTCCGCTGATTGGCCGACCGCGGTGATTGGCCGGTGGCGCCGTCACTCAGTAGTCTCTCGGCAGCCCGGCCAATTTTAAAGGAATGGGAAGGGTCCAGGGAGGAAGGGCAAGTAGTGCTCCAGGGTTTGGGTTTTCTTTTCTCGTTTGTTCTTTTTTTTTTTTTTTTTTTTTCCCTCTTTAGGAAATTATGGCAATTTCCGCCAAAGATTGTTTCGCTTGTGAATAACTGACCTAGCGAGTGATGTTCTCTTTGGTTTGCAAAGCATTTCTGTAGACTTAGATAAGCTTGAGGAACGTATTAGCCCAATGTTGCAGAAGGAGGAGGGTCAAAAATAGGAAAAAAAAAAAAAAAAGTGACTCTTGAGATGAAAACAGATTGGCTTGTTTTAAAATAAGAAGAATCCAGTAATTAAAAAAAAAAAAAAAAAAAAAGAACGGGCGCCTGAGTGGCTCAGTGGGTTGAGCCTCTGCCTTCCCAGGTCATGATCTCAGGGTGCTGGATTCGAGGCCCCCAACGGGCTCTCCACTTGATGGGGAGCCTGCTTCTCCCTCTCTCTGCTTACTTGTGATCTCTCTCTGTCAAATAAATAAATAAAATCTTTAAAAAAAAAGAAAAAAGGGAAGCGACTTACCTAGGAACTCCATAATAACTAACTCTAATTATTGGGCATCTATAGGTTAACCCAATAGTGTAGTAAGATTCTAGTATGTTATTTGATTTACGCCTTATCACCATTCTGTGAGGTCTGTACTGTGTTACTCCCATATTATAGAGAAAGAAACTAAAAGATTTGAACCCAAACAGGCTGACCCCGTAATCTGTGCTTTTAACTCTTATGAACATACAAAATATGCACAGTATGGTAAATTTATTATTTGTATCCCAGATATTATTAACCGAGATAGGGGAAAGTGAGTTCTTTCTGTCTGCTGCTGTGCTATTCTGTAAAGTAGATACTAGCTCTATGTGGATATCTGAATTTGAGTTTAAATTAATTAAAATTTTAAATTTTAAAACTCCATTCCTCAGTGGTGCTACGCACATTTCAAGAGCTCATTGGCCACATGTGGCTACTGGATATCATTTTGGATAGCACAGAATTAGAGAATATTTCCAATATCACAGAAAGTTCTATTGGATGGTGCTGATACAGAATACATAAAAAACTCTTCCAGGGTGTCTGAGTGGAGCACAAGGTTGAGCCTGGGACTTTTGGTTTCAGCTCCGGGCATGGTATCAGGGTCCTGCTCTCAGGGTCCCCACTCATTGTGGAGTCTGCTTGAGACCCTCTCTCCCTCCACCTCTGCCCCTTGCCTCTACTCCCTCTCTCCCCTGCACCAAAATAAATAAATCTTAAAAAAAAAAAAAAAAAAAAAAAAAAAAAACCTCTTCCAATTCAAAGTAAGACAACTGCTGTGGTGCTGAAGCCATCTCATAGTGGTTTGCAAGAGTCACTTACAAAATTTAGCAAGGGGGATGCCTGGGTGGCTCAGTCAATTGAGCATCTTGACAGCTCAGGTCATGATCTTGGAGTCATAGAATTGAGAACTACATACGGTTCCAGGCTCAGGGTAGAGCCTGTTTGGGATTCTTTACCCCTTCCTCTCCTCCCCCTCTGTTCCTCCGCCTGCTCTCACTCTCCCTCTCTATAAATAAATAAATAAAATCTTTAAATTTAGCAAAAGTTTTGCAAATTGATTGCTAAATACAGCTATTTAGAAATATTAAATTATACACACTTACAAGGAAATAAAGTCTATTGAAAACGAGTTCATTTCATTATTATTTTACCATATTGTGTGCTTTTGTGGTTTATCATATCTATTGCATCTATATGGTGGAAATATTATCTGGTGTTGTGCTACTGCACATCTTTTTCCAAAGTAACATCAGTAGCTTGATTTTGGCCACAATGGGAATATTTACACCATAGAATCAGCAAATGCTACATACCAGGGCTTGATTTTTTGCTTTGTTATATCTATAGTTAATGATGGAAAAATGTTAATGAAGATTAAATTTAGAAGTGTGTCAAGTCTATAGGCTTTACAATGTAAATAGCCCAAAAACTTAAGGAAATATCATTCTAGTGTTTGAAAACTATTATCCAACTCAAAGAAGTCACTTCTGAAGTTTTGGTTACATCTTACTCATTAACGTAAATGAAAATATCAACCAGCATTCACTTAAAAACCACACTTAGAAAGTCTGCTTTAAACATTTGCCAGCATACCACTGCAAGTAACCCAGTAAAAAACACAGGCAAACGACTTGAATAGGCACTTCATCAAGATATATGTAGGGCAGATAAGCCCATAAAACGATAACCAACGTCATTACATATTGATTGCATTGTATATAAAGTCCCCAGGAGACATTGCTATACATCCACTGAAATAGTTAATATAAAAAGACCAATAATACCAAATGCTGGCAAGGATGTGGAACAACTGGAACTCGCATATACTGCTGGTGGACATAAAAAATGGTGCAATCATATTGGAAAACAAATTTGTAGCTTTTTGAAAAGCCAGTTATATGACCTATGGCATGACCCAGCCATTCTACTCTTAGAGGATTTGTTTGCTTTGTTTTGTTTTTTGTTTGTTTATTTACTTATTTTGTTTTTTGTTGATTTTATCTATTTATTTGAGAGGGATAGGGAACATGAGAATGAGCAGGGAGAGGGGCAGAGGGAGAAGTGAACTCCCTGATGAACAAGGAGCCTGATGCAAGGCCCCATCCCAAGTCCCTGGGATCATGACCTGAGCGAAAGGTAGATGCTTAACTGACTAAGCCACCCAGGTGCCCCGGTTTGTTTGTTTTTAATTAACTAGTTCTTTTAATTATTAAAATAAAATTTAAAAAATTCAGGCAAAAGTTTAAAAAGTTTGGGGCGCCTGGGTGGCTCAGTGGGTTAAAGCTTCTGCCTTCGGCTCAGGTCATGATCCCAGGGATCTGGGATCGAGCCCCACATCAGGCTCTCTGCTCCACAGGGAGTGTGCTTCCTCCTCTCTCTCTGCCTGCCTCTCTGCCTACTTGTGATCTCTGTCTGTCAAATAAATAAAATCTTTAAAAAAAAAAAGTCAAGTTGAAAAACTAAATTTTCTCTCAATTCCACTCTACAGAGGTTTGGTTTGAATACCTGAAGTTTTTCTTCATGTATCCCAACATTTGTATGTGTCTGTGTGTCTGTAGGTGCCCACAGTTTACATTGCTTACATTGCTTGACAACTTGCTTTTTCATCCATTAATAGATGCTAAGCATTTAGCAAATAGAGATCTATTCCCTCACTCAGCCAATATTCATTGAGCATTACCATGTGCCAGGCATTCTAGTCTCTTCGATTACATCCATTAACAAAGCAGCCACCGATCTTTGCCTTCATGGAGCATACACTTCAGCAGGAGGAGATAGGTGGTGAACAATATCATAAATAGGAGATTGACATATTAGAAGGTATTGTATGCTACAGAAGCAAGAAAAAGTAAGAAAGGGTAACAGGAATTGGGGACAGGGGTGTTCTATCTGAGTTTTTTTTAACAGCAGCCTAGTATTTCTTACCTATCCATTCATGCCCCATGAGGCTGACAATATGCTAGGTGCTGGCGATTCAACCGTGACCATGTAGACAGGTTTCTCCCTTCATGGAGCTGCTGATGGGAGACCATGAGCAAACCCAAATGAACTTGATAATTGTAGGTAATGGTTAAATACTGTGGGAGGGGGTTGGGAAGAGGCTGCCTAACCTAGACCGGTGATCAATAAATGCTTCTCTGAGAAGGTGACATTTAAGCATTGCCTCAAGTAATGAGACAGAAGCAGTCCTGAAATACTAATATTTCTTGACAAACCGTAAGAGACTCTTAAGTCTAGGAAACAAACTGAGGTTCGGTGGAGGAGAGGTGAGTGTGGGGTTGAGGTAATTGTTTGATGGGCATTAAGGAGGGCACTTGATGCAATGAGTACTGGGTGTTATATGCAATTGATGAATCTCTGAAATTAATAACACACTATATGTTAATTTACTGATTCTAAAATAAATAAATAAATACAAATATTTCTAATCCCCTCTTCATTCCTAGGATCTGTAGTCAGGAAGAAGTAGTGATCCCTTGTGCTTCTGACAATGATTCAGGAAGTGTGGATTTGCAGCTGAGCAACTTAGAGGATATTAGAAAAGATCCAAGTAGCCTTGAACTTACAGGTAAGAGGGGGAAAGGTTTTGGTTTGGTTTGGTTTGGTTTGGTTTGGTTTGGTTTGGTTTGGTTTTTAAGGCAGGAAGGGAGGTGGAGAAAGGGGATTCTCTGTTGGAGTCAAGTTGCTGGATAAGAGCCTTCAACTAGACTTTGACAACGAATTTGGTCCCTGAATTTAAGACCTTGGAATATGGTTGGCACAATGAGATAAAATATATTAGTCCAGACATAATAAGATACTGAGATAGATAATCCTGCAGACTTGCACAGAGTCTAAGTGCTAGAAGGATTCTAAGAAGGGAAAGGTAGTTGTGGGTGGACCCTTGATTGGGCTACAGAATATCTATCTTTTCATTTATTCTGCAAGCATTTACTGAGTACCAGTTGTTGAATATACAGCAATGAACAAGACCAACATGATCCCTGCCCTCACAGAATTTGCTGAAAAGGAGTAGTAAGTAAACAGATATTAAATAAAGTAATTACAGGGACGCCTGGGTGGCTCAGTTGGTTGGACGACTGCCTTCGGCTCAGGTCATGGTCCTGGAGTCCCGGGATCGAGCCCCGCATCAGGATCCCGGCTGTGCGGGGAGTCTGCTTCTCTTTCTGACCTTCTCCTCGCTCATGCTCTCTCTCACTGTCTCTCTCTCAAATAAATAAATAAAATCTTTAAAAAAAAATAAAGTAATTACAAATTGTAGTTAATACTACGAAAGAATTATACGAGGGACTGAGACAAAAAACAAGGGGGATGAGAACCTATTTTAAGCCACAGCTGTCAGAGAACGCCTATCTAAGAGGCACTGTTTAAACCTAAAGGAGGCCTCAAGGACGTGAAAGAGAAACCCATGTGAGAAGCAGAGGAATGAACATCCCAGGTGGATATAATAGCATCTGCATGAGACAGGAAAGACTATTTGAGGATCTCTATTTCCCATGTCTACATTCATTCAACAAACATTTATTGAAGTCCTACTATGCCGTAAGCATGGATCTAGCTACTGGAGATTTAGTAACGAACAGAACAGACACAGCGTAGTTGTGGATAGATGATTGGAACTCAGTTTAATATGGGTGATTGGGAGTGGGGGAGTAGGGAGCAAATATAAAGAAGCTTTTTAGCAGCTAGGAGGATATTTGGTCAAAATGGGCAAAGAGGTGATTCAAGAAAGGCATCCTGGAGCAGATCCCTGAAGGACGAGTAGGAGTTAGCTAGGCAAAGGAGGTAGGAGGTAGGGAAGGTGGGGAAGAAGAAGGAGAAATGTGTAGGGAGAAGCATGAGAGCTAAATGAGATAGGGTTTCTAGTGCATGAGAAGAATTTGACAGTGGGTGGCAGGAATTTGGAAAGAGGCTGTAATTCAGGAGACCAAAAAGTGTGCAGAAGTGGAGGGGTAGAATTCCTGATGATGGGTGTGTTAAAAGGGAAATAGTAAGACTGTTTCCCCAACAGGAATAAAGAACTTGGTTTTGGAAAACAGGAGGTAAGGATGTAAAGCTATATGAAGAGGGAAATGATACCACTCTAATCATTGTCGCTCAGCAGATGAATAATATTTGCCAACACTTCCTTGGTGCTAGCTCTGTGTCAACTAAATGAGGTAGGTTCTGTTATCATCCCCATCTAGGAAATGAAGAAATAGACCCAGAAAAAGTAAGATCACACATGGTCAGAATGCTAGAGAATAGCAGAGTGAGGATCCAAGCTTAGGCAGACAAACTCTGGAGCCTGTGCCTTTTATCAGAGTCTATCCCAGGTCTGGAAGGAGGATTCCTGAAGCACTTACTGCAGCCTGGTCCAGTGGGAAGAGATCATCAAGGGGATGCTACTGTATTTGAAGTTCTTGTCACCACAGAGTTGTAGACATTTGAATTCAATATTAGTATCTACCATTTAAGTACTTACTATGGACCACATACTGAGATAAGTCTTTGTATTCAGTACCTCACTTAGTCCTCATGATAACCCTGTTTTACAGGTAAAGAAACTAAGGTTCCAAGAGGCAAACTAACTTGACAAAGGTCATAGAATTAATAAGGGGTAGAGCCAGGATTCAAATTAATCTCAGACTGAGATTAAAAGTCCATGCTCTTGACCACTGTGCTATAGCTCAGTCTTGAAGGTTTTTGTAGCTTAGGAGGGCCTTAGACAACACTGAATTTGTAATTGGGAAGACTGAGACTTGGAGAGCAGAAGGGACTTTGTTAGGATTGTGGAGCAGATAGTAAAGGTGAGACCAGGGCATGACTATCCTGACATCCAGTGGATCTCCCCATTATGACTGTAGAACTCTACATGGTACAGATAAGTCATCTGCTGTGTTTCTTTTGGTATTAGACTCCGACATCTCTGACATTGCTGGACTGTCTCGGGATTCGCTCACAGATAGCTTCAGGCACCTGACCCAAAAGGGCGCCCTCAGTGAGGCCGTTGTTGAGAGGCTAATCCGATCTATCCAGGAGGTTTTTGATGGTGAGCTACAGGTATGCACAAGCAATCATACTGAGTCATCCAACTTATTCCTTCATTTTAACAACTATTTTAAACATTTATGATTTCTTTATCATACAGATAATTGATATTATAGACTGTAAAATTTATGTTTATATTTATTTTTATATTAAACATTTATATACATTTATAAACTGTATTTATATATATGCTTCTGTTTACAAAAACTATAAAATGCCTATTAAAAGAAAGAAAAGAAGAAGAAAAATGAATCTTCCCTAATCCACTCACCTGAGATAACTGTTAACATTTTAGTATATATATTTTCAGACTTTTTCTTCTGGTCATACAAATGCATGTAATTATAGAAAAATAAACATCAGACATGGTGGGAGGAAAAAGGTTTTCTAGGTGAATAGCTTTGGATCTATATTACCCTACTCAATAGCTTTGGATCTATATTACCCTACTTACTTTGGATCTATATTACCCTACATAATACAGTATTCTGTTGTTTAGTAAAACATTCATTCATTCATTTATTCTGCAAGAGCACATAAGTGAAAATTTTATCTTACCCTGGGAGTAAGGGAAGGCATTTCTGAGGAAGGAACCCTTGAGATCAGATCTGAGGAATGAATAGGAAAAACTAAGAGAAGTTAGAATTGGAGGAGGTATTCCAGAAATAGGGCATTGTCTGTGTAACAGCCTTGAGGCAGAAAGGAGCAGAACATGTTTGATGAACTCACAGAAGCCTGGTATGTCTGTCTGTCCTTTGTTAACAGACACTTGGGTTGTTTCCATATCTTGGCTCTTGTGAATAATGTTGTGGTGAACATGGGAGTGGACATTACCTCTTTCAGATCCAGATTTCATTTCCTTTGAATATATATACTCAGAGGATTCTAGTTTGGGAAAATTTGTCAAACTTTACATTTTCTCTGTGTGTAATGCTAATAAAAACTTTTGGGAAAAACACTTTAAGCCAGAATGTTGGTCTTTCCTTTTGACTAAAACATTTCTTTACACTTCATGCCAGCAGGACTTTATAAAACATTTCTTTGTAATTAATAAAGGGCAGGGATTGCTGCAGTTAATTGAAAAAAAGAGAAAATCCATTCCCTGCTTTGACCTGAATCCACAACCAGGCAGAAAAATAAATGAAAAGAAGGTAATTTTGTCAGAGTATCACAAATACCATAATAGCAATATATACTATGTGCTTTATGGATACTCCTGGGAAGGGCACCCAATGCTGGTTCAGGAGAAAATGCATTTTTCTAGTCTTAAAGGATATATAGATTTTAGTCAGTAAGCAAAGTAGGTATAGAGAATTCAGTAGGTGCAAAGGCCCAGAACCAAGAAAGGGCAGCGTAAAAGTTAATCTGTCTAAAGTTCAGAATGCTGCAGGCAAGGAGGAGATGAATTTGAAGAAGTTAGCTGAGGTCACATTGGGAAGGCCTTGACCTCCATGGGTGCTATTGAAAGATATTTTGGTAGGGAGTTACCTGATCAAGCTTTCATTTAATGAAGATGAATGTGGTGATAGCTAGGGGAATAGATTGGAGGGCGTCAAAACTGGAGCAGGGAAACTCAATGTTGATTGTTGCATTAAGGTAGATGAGAAAGAATTAAAACTATGAAGTCAGATTCTGGCTGTGTATAACACTACTTGCTGTTCAGAGAGCTAATACCAGGTTATACTATCCATAGGCTGGGAGGAAAAGATAAGAAGAAATTTTCCCAAGATTGTGGAATTATTGACATCTTTTATTGTCTTCATACTTTATTTTTTTCCAAGTTTCTGTGATAGATACTGCTTTTATAATCAGAAAAAGAATAATGCAAAAGATTTTACTTTTCAAATAAAACTTGCATTTTAATAGGGAACCTTATAGACTCAAAATAATATTTAATGACATCAAGAGATCTAGAAGTAACAGTCAAAGTCACCGTTAGGAAGTTTAATCAGACAGCAGTATATAGACAGGATGGGTAGATGGCGAAGCAAAGACTAAAGGTGGGGAGAGCCATCATGGAGCAGTTAGTAATCCAAGATTTCATCTAGCTGAGAGGGAAAACAAAATCCCAAACCCAGGCAGGGCAAGTGGACAAGGAGTTCCATTCCTCTGTAATTTATTCATTCCTTATAATAAAAGACCTGAGGGCGCCTGGGTGCCTCAATCAGTTAAATGACTGCTTCAGCTCAGGAAATGATCTGAAGTCACAGGATCCAGTCCCACATCGGGCTCCCTGCTCAGAGGAGAGTCTGCTTCTCCCTCTGACCCTCTCCCCCTTCATTCTCTCTCTTTCTCTCTCTCTCAAATAAATAAAATCTTTTTAAAAATAAATAAATAGATAAAAGACCTGAGACTAGTTTGAATGAGATGTCTGATGTTTAGAACATCACAAGAAACTTCTCAAAAACCCTCTAAAATTATCAAATGAGATTGTAATATGTAATTGTGTCTTTATCATTTTTCCACAAATTCAGAGTGAACTTGAGAAGCTGGCATTCCTACAATCTTTGTCTTCTCTCAGCCGAACTTTACCTTACGATGAAACCACAGATTCATTCATTCACAACCACATAGCAGACATTGTGCGTATCCTAAATGTAAGTATTGTGACCTTATCACAAATTATCAGGACCACACAAATTCATGACTTGACTAACAGATGTTTTAGTGGCTTCATATATATTATCAATTTCCTTGACCTCTTCTTGTATCAGTATCTGTATATGGAGGAGAAATAGGCGTACTCCACAAATTTAATTACACTTGAAAACCAGCTAAAAGATGAGTATAAAGGAGGGAAACAGCATGTAAATTCTCAGTAAGGACAATACTGCATTCTTGTTAGTGAAGCCATAGTCGTGAGGCAAACTCTATAATCCAATGCCCAGGTTCAGGTTGCCAGCTGTGCCTCTTTCCCACTGTGTGACTTTGAGAATCTGTGCAACTTCTCAGTGCCTCAGCTTCTTCATCTACAAAATAAGAATAGCTGTATCCTTCACAGAGCTATTGAGAGTATTAAATTAAAAATAAACATACGTGGGCACCTGGGTGGCTCAGTGGGTTAAAGCCTCTGCTTTCGGCTCAGGTCATGATCCCAGGGTCCTGGGATCGAGCCCAGCATTGGGCTCTCTGCTTGGCGAGGAGCCTGCTTCCCCTTCTCTCTCTCTGCCTGCTTCTCTGCCTACTTGTGATCTCTGTCAAATAAACAAATAAAATCTTTAAAAAAAAAAAAAAGAAATGAGCTATTGATACATGCTAAAACTTAAATGAATCTCAAAACAGTCATGCTGTGTGGAAGAAGCCAGATGAAGAAGATACTGGTCATATGATTCTATTTGGAGAAAATTCTCAAAAATGCCAACTGATGTAAAGTGACATCAGATCAGTGGTTACCTGAAAATAGTAGAATGGGGAGGAACAGGAGTGCGAAATTACAAAGTTTGTACAAACAAACTTTTGGGAGTAATCCATATGTTCATTATCTTGATTGTGATGATGATATTTTGCAAATGTATACGTAAGTCAAAAATCTCAAACTATACACTTTAAATATGTACAGTTTGTTGTGTGTCTATTACCTCCAAGTCAAAAAAGCTGTAAAAATTTTGTTGAGAACTTTAATCGAAAAGAAGAAATGCAGTGGCAACTAGGATATGAAGGAAAGATGACAAGATTGGCATGAAATTAATCCAGATAGATCTCCTGATCTAAGCCTCAAAGGATGTGCTGGATAGGGTAGACAGAAGGGACCAGAGTGTAGGGGCTTTGATCGGCAGATTCCTACCTAGCTATGTCAAGACAGAATGTCAGTGCAGGTACTTTTTAGATGCTCCTGGTGCCCCACAGCAGACGTGAGCACTAAGACCTCCAATCCTGGAATGTTCATGGCGTCAAGCTTGTGCTTGGGGGTCCAACCTAATTCTGCACCTGGGGTCCTCCACAAAATCCTACTATTTCCAGGTTGTTTGGTAAATAAAGTTACACTCACCATTGAACAGACACCATTGAACAGATCACGTGAGCTGTGAGGCAGGCAGTAGATGAGAAAGACTTTTCAGAAAGTCTCTTCAGTGGTATGGGTAATAAACGCTGAAGGATTTTGGAGGATGAACAGTTCTCAGTAGACTGAACTAACATGAAAAGACTGCCCAGTTGTGCCTGTAGATTTTGAGCTCCCTGAAGCATGGCGGTGAAGAAGAAAGGGAGCTCTTTTACGAATTAGAAGACACAATTTCTAGTTCCAGTGCTGTCAAGCACAACCTGTGTGATCTGAGGCAGATCACTTAGCTTCTCTGAACCTCTAGCTCCACCTGGAAAATGGAGATAGTAATATCTGTCTGGCTTTTGTTAAAGCCTTTGAGAGAAAATGCCTCATTTGGTTAAGATTCTTCTTGGAGAAAGCAATAAAAACCAACTCTGGCTTACTTAAGTTAAAAGGAAGGAAGGAAGGAAAAACAGGAGGCTGGGATATCTCCCTAGAATCTACCTTTTATCAATCAAGCCTCCAGAAGAGTATGTTCCAGGACAACTCCTAGGGTTTCAAAGCGGTTAGGGGGTTGCTCTCCTATCAAGATGACTTACACATTTAGGTGCTCCCAATCTGTGTCTGTCATTCAGAAATTCCAGATGCTGGGAGAAAGAATCTGATTGGCCCAGACTGGGTCTGTTCTCTCCTCCTTCCTCAACCAGGCATGTTTGGGGGACAGCATCATATAGGAAGGGCATGACTTCTGGCCATCCCTCTCTGTGTCTTGGAGGCCATTCCCAGAGAAGAGATGATTGCTGTGATCTGGAGAGTCACCCCAAGAGGTTCCTACTACACAAATACTTGACAAACAAAAAATAGCCTCTCGTTTCTGAATTCCCCATTAAAGTTAGCATAATTGTGAATAAATAATAAGCCTTTCATACCTAATTGATTGATAAAAGGAATTGCAGGCCTGGTGGCTTAGCTAAGAGGCACTGCCTTCATCCACATGTGAGGCGTGTGGCTGTAGGGATGGAGAGTCAGAAACTGTGCAGAGCAGGTAGTGGCCATCATCGTGGTTGATTGGATGCGGGAAATGAATAAAGGGAGAAATGTAAATCATAGGTCATCTCTTTCATGAGCCCTGGGAAAGAGTACCATTGACAGCAGTAGGCTGGGAAGGTGTGTCCTTTGGAGGAGGAAGATAATGAACTCACTTTTTAACACCAAATTGCCAGAGGCAGCTGGGCTTTTAGTGGTGATGCCTGTGAGATAGCTAGATTTAGGTTAGTAGAGCTCTGGGAGGCTGAAGCCATGAAATTAAGTGGGTTTCTTGGAGAAACAAGAAAGAGCATCAGGTCACCAGCAAGATCTGACCAGAGTTGGAAAGTGAGAAACGGGCACCTAGGTGGCTCAGTGGGTTAAAGCCTCTGCCTTCAGCTCAGGTAGGGTCCTGGGATGGAGCCCTGCTTCGGGCTCTCTGCTCAGCAGGGAGCCTGCTTCCCCCTCTCTCTCTGCCTGCCTCGCTGCATACTTGCGATCTCTCTCTGTGTCAAATAAATAAAATCTTTAGAAAGAAAGAAAGAGAGGGAGGGAGGGAGAAAGAAAGAAAGAAAGAAAGGAGAAGAGTCAGGAAGGGGCAAGAAAGAGAACACAGTAATAATTATTGAATGCTGCCTCCCGGACATTAAGTTCCTGGTGGGTCTTTTTGGTGGCAGGTTAGAGAAGTCTACTAGAGGCAACTGAAACACTAAAGGGGAGATTGAGTCTGAGGATAACTGAGTGTTCCCAGAATCCTATAACAGGAAGACCAACATGCTCCAAGAAGAGAATGAAGCCAGAAAAAAACCAAAAAACAAAAATTTTCACATACTCAGAACTTTCTCTCCCATCTCTCATCTTTGCTCCTTTGTGTATACTTTCATTTCTCTCTGTCCCTTACCTCTCTTCCCAAAATTGGCTCTCTCTGTCACCTTTTCCACAGGGCACAGGGCTCCCAAATTTTCAATTTTCTCTTCTTAGTAGGCCAGCCAGACTGAGATCAAGGCTCTTGGTCTCAATTCCAGAGTGCTGAGAAAAAGACTCTACTCCTGTCCAGATAAGCTGTGGTTATTGGGACAGAATGACTTAGTGGAAGCATGGCTGTGAGGTGCCCATTCTGTGACCCAGGGACATTTTCCAGAGAGGCTGGGTAGACAGCCCAGGAAGACTTCCATTGCAACCATTTGCTTTTGCTCTTTCTGTCAACTCCCTGAGATTTCTCTCTTTTCCTCCACACATAGCAGGAAACTCGGGCCCAGGAAAAGTAAATGCTACATTCCAGGTGACACAGGGAGGGAGTGGCAGAGCCCATGCCCAAACCCAGATGCTGTCTAGCTCCAGAGCCTCTTTTTTCCTTTCTTGTCACTGTGCAGATTTTTCTGGAAAGCAAGGCAGCTTTCCAAACTCTGCTAATTTGGAATTTGGAAAACTATTCCTTTTCTAGGACAAGCACATAATAATATTAGGCACTATCGTAGAGATTGCTGCTTGGTAGAAAGAGGAGTTAGGAGGCCTAGACTGGAAATAATCACAAGTAGTAAAAATAATGAGTAACAGACGCTAACAGTTCTCAAGGGCTACTAGGAATTATGAATTAACTCCTTAGTGTTCCCAGTTACCTTGTGATGGTAAACAGTACGGTTACCTCATTTTACAATGGGGAAACTGAGGTACAGGGAGGTTAAATAACTTGTGTCCACTCCAACAGCTAGTAATAGGCCACGCCGGGCCTGATGCTCTGGCTCCATAGACTAAATTCCTGGCCTGGCCACTGTCCTGCTGCTGGTCCTGGGGAGCCAAGAGCAGGACCTGATGAAGTCCCTGCAGTAGTTCTTGCAGACCATCTACATCTGCGATCGTCTGGCCCAAGGATGTGTGGCATGTTCTCGACTCTGGTTTAAAGTCCTTGCCCTCTCATTGCAGATGCTGGTAGAAGAGGAGCCTGTGCATTCTCTCTTCAGCTCCGTGCGCCAGGAGGTCTTTGTCACCATCGCTGACCTCAGGTGACACCCACACGCCCCCTCCCCCCACACACACATGTACTGCTCTCTTGGTCATGGCCAATACCAGAGCCAACTGACGTGCTCCATATCTTTAACTTTGGTAAACTATTTATAGAGGGAAGGGGACACCCATCCGTGTTTCCTGTGTAAGAAATTTGATTTCATATATGCTGCCCTCTATATCTGAAAGACCTTAGTGGAACCTCTTTGGAGTTCAGTTTTGTCCATGGTATATTCAGTGGAAAGTTACTCTCCTGAGTGCTTCATGACAGTAGAGTTCCACAGTCCAAGAAATTTGGAAGGGCTGCCTGCTGTTTATTTAACTTATTAAAAGGCCCTAAGAAATCCTATAGTTAAAAAGTTTTTTTTACTTGGTTCAATCCACCATTCCCCAAACTAACAAACATTCAGCAGAACATCTTTCAGAAAATCATACATGTTAGACTATAGCAGGCTTACCTCTGTGGTTAAGCTGCAGGAAACCCTAGAAGAATATCATTCCAGTAACCTCTTGGGAAGGCGGGGAGGGACAGGGAAGAAGGATGGAAGCTCTGAGCCCTGAAACTCTTCCTCCAGCATTTTGTGAGATTTGTCTAAGCAGGCTAAGAAGCACGCCCTTTGTCTCTTCCATCAGAATTACACACCAATTAGTCCACCTTTCCTCTTGGGTTCCTTCAACCCCTGCTTACCAATGTCAGATCAAACTCTTCCCAGATTACTCTTCCTAAACTGTCTTTTCTTAGTTACCAAGATGTCCACTTGCTATTTGGCTCTGAAGATCGAGCTGATTTGTTCAGTCTTATTACGAAAAGTATAATCACTCTGCCCTCTGTAACGACTCTTATCCAGCTGCAGGAAATCATGCCAAGTGGGTCCTACAACACAGAGGTAACTCCTGCTTTGGTTTACTAACATGCCATCTACAGGGTCAGCTGATCATGGCCCTTCGAGAGTACATTTAATTTTGTGGAACTAGCCAAAAGTCATTTCAGCCAGGTCTGCTGAATAAAATAAGCAGTTAAATTAAATAGCTTTTCCCCCTCTTTATTTTCCTTTCTTCTCTTTCCTTTTCTTATTTATTTATTTATTTATTTACTTATTTAAGAAAGAGAGGGAAAGGGAGAGAGAACCTCAAGCAGACTCTGTGCTGAGCACAGAGCCCGATGTGGGACTCAATAGTTCTCACCACCCTGAGATCATGACCTGAGCTGAAACCAAGAGTCAGACACTTAACTGACTGCGCCACCCAGGCGGCCCTCTCTATTATTTTTTTTTTAAGATTTTTACTTATTTATTTGAGAAAGAGCACTTACACATGTGCACAAGGGGAGGGAGGGGCAGAAGAAGAAGGACAAGCAGTCTCTGAGCCCGACATGGGACTCCATCCCACATCCCTGTGGTGGAATGTCCTGAGCCAAAATCAAGAATCAGATGCTTAAACCAACTGAGCTAACCAGGTGCACACTCTCTTTGTCTTTTTTTTCCCCTTCATTCCTTCTTTCCTGGCTTTTGGCTTTAAAATAAGGTGAGAGTGTTCATATACTTGGCATATACTTAGAGTTACCATATGCTAAACATCATGAGAGGCAACAGAAATACAGTGGTAACCTCTCTCTACTGGGGAGCTTATATCCTAGTATAGATATACAAACCACTGATAAGTATATCAGGTGGTAATACGTGCTATATTTTAAAAAAAAAAATAGAACAGGGGCATCTGGGTGGCTCAGTTGGTTAAGCAACTGACTCTTGACTTCGGCTCAGATCATGATCTCAGGGTCCTGGGATCCAGCCCTGTGTCAGGCTCCTGCTCTTCATGGAGTCTGATGGAGATTCTCTCTCTCCGTCCCCCGCTGCCCCTGCTCACACACATGCTTTCTGTTTCTCTGGCTCTCTCAAATAAAAAATTTTTTTTTTAAAAATTGAACAGGGAAAGAGGAGACAAAGAGTACTGTGGGTGGGAGGCTTTTATACGTAGGGTGGTCAGGGAAAGTCCTCCTGATGTGACAGTTGAAAAGAGGAGATGGGTCTCTCTGGAGGAGAAGCTCTCAGGCAGAGAAGAGGAAATGCAAAGGCCTTGATTTTCTTCTGCAGCTAATAAATTGGTTGGTAAAGCAGTTGCCAAAGGGGACTTTATTCCCCTTTGTTTCAAGATGTCAGAAAGAGTCACAAGTCGAATTTTAAAACTATCTTGATGGGGACGCCTGGGTGGCTCAGTTGGTGAGCAGCTGCCTTCGGCTCAGGTCATGATCCCAGCGTCCTGGGATCGAGTCCCGCATCCGGCTCCTTGCTCGGCGGGGAGCCTGCTTCTCCCTCTGCCTCTGCCTGCCATTCTGTCTGCCTGTGCTCGCTCTCTCTCCATCTCTCTCTGACAAATAAATAAAAAAAAATCTTTAAAAAAAAAAAAAACTATCTTGATGACCCTAACTAACTTCCTAAATGTAGTTAGAATCATTAACTGTGTTCCCAGTAATGCTGAGATGTCCATTGAACATGAACATATTGTGGGGCACCTGGCTGGCTCAGTTGGTGGCACATGTGACTCTTGATCTGTGGATTGGAAATTCAAGCCCCATGTAGAGATTACTTAAAAATAAAATCTTAAAAAAAAAGAAAAAGAAAAGAAAATGAATATATTGTTTCACCTCAGCTCGCAAACTGCCTACCAGTACTTTCACACTGGTTCTGTGCCTTTGAGTAAAGTCTCAAGATAAGAGCCTTAATTAAAAGTGTACATTGTAATTGGTGGGAATGCAAACTGGTGCAGCCACTCAGGAAAAGAGTGTGGACATTCCTCAAAAAGTTACAGATAGAACTACCCTATGATCCAGCAACTTACCCAAAGGAAACAAAAACACTAAGTCAAAGGGATAGATGCACCCTGATATGTACAGCTGCATTGTCACCAATAGCCTAATTATGGAAGGAGCCCAAGTGTTTGTTGACTGCTGAATGGATAAAGTGGTGTGAATATATATACACATATACACACAATGGAATATTACCCAGCCATAAAAAAGAAGGACATCTTGCCATTTGCAAAGATGTGGATAGAGCTAGAGAGTATTATGCTAAGTGAAATAAGCCAGGCAGAGAAAGACAAATACCATATGATTTCACTCTTATGTGGAATTTAAGAAACAAAACAAATGAACATGGTGGGGAGAGAGGAGAAACCAAGAAGCAGGCGCTGAACTGTAGAGCACCAGGTGTTGTGTATAAGTGATGAATCATTAAATTCTACACCTGAAACTAATATTACACTCTGTTAACAGGAATTTATTTTTTTTAAAAACATCTGATTTTTGTTTGTTTTAAAGATTTTACTTATTTATTTGACACAGAGAGAGAGGGGGAGCACAGGTAGGCAGACCAGCAGGCAGTGGAAGAAACAGGCTCCCTGCTGAGCAGAGAGCCCAATATGGGGCTCGATACCAGGACCCCAGGATCATGACCTGAACCAAAAGCAGACACTTAACCAACTGAGCCACGCAGGTGCCCCTAACTAACAGGAATTTAAGCAAAAACTTGGAAAGAAGAGGAGCACTTTGGTGGCTCAGTCGGTTAAGCATCTCCCTTTGGCTCAGGCTGTAATCCCAGAGTCCCAGGATTGAGCCCCATGTTGGGCTCCCTGCTTAGCAGGGAGTCCGCTTTTCCCTCTGATCCTTCACTCCCCTCGTGCTCTCTCTCGCTCTCTCTCAAATAAATTAATAACATCTTTAAAAAAAAACTTGGAAAGAAGAAAAAATAAACTGTGTAGAAGCAAAAAAAAAAATTGTATAGAGTTGGGGAACTTCATGATGGTGGGGGCTGGGGACATCACTGATCCTGTGCCTTTTCAGTGTCTCTACAGGCAGACATTTCAAGCATTCTCTGAGATGCTCCAGAGTTTGGTAGTAAAAGACCCACATCTGGAAAATCTTGACACCATTTTTAAGGTAAATTAGGATACAGAGAAAAAGGGAAACTATTTCTATTAACTCATGAAAGTGGAAGAAGAAAATGTGGAAGGTGGGCTCCTGGGTGGCTCAGTCATTAAGCGGCTGCCTTCAGCTCAGGTCATGATCCCAGGGGCCTGGGATCGAGCCCCGGATCGGGCTGTCTGCTCATCGGGAAGCCTGCTTCTCCCTCTTGCACTCCCCCTGCTTCTGTTCCTTCTCTCGCTGTGTCTCTCTGTCAAGGAGATAAATTTTTCAAAAATGTGGAAGAATTAAGTTTAAAGAGCTAGCATAGGGGTGCATGGGTGGCACAGTTGGTTAAGTGTCTGACTCTTGATTTCAGCTCAAGTCATGATCTCGGGGTCGTGAGATTGAGCCCTGTGTCAGGCTCCGCACTCAGTGGGGAGTCTGCTTGAGATTCTCTCCCTCTCTCTCTCCCCCCAGAGAGAAGTGCATACACTTCTCTCTAAAATAAATAAATATATCTTTAAAAAAAAAAAGAGTACAGTAGTTGAGTATCAGCTATCAATTTTGCATTAGACTTGGCTTCCAATTCTGACTCTGTGCCATTCCTGGAGTATAAAGTCAGCAAAGAATGTAATCTCTCAGAGTCTTATCTCACTTTCAAATTGAGATAATACTTATGGTGAGTATTGAATAAATGACCTTCAATAAGTGGTTTAATGGTTGCTATTATTGTTCCTTAAATTCCTGTTGCTTACTAGCGTAGAAGGTTTCAATCAGTGGCAAGAGAACAGGGTCACCTCATGAGTGAGTAAATAGGCAGGTGCCCAGCAGGCAGAATTCAAGGTCATTAATTACCACCTGTCCCCACCTGTACCCCTTCCAGCATATGCCATTCTGTCATTAGAGATTTTTTTCTCTAGAGTGCATTCACTGCACTTCAAGCATCTTACTGTCTTGTCCCCTTTTAAGATACAGATATCCCAGAAAGGAATAACCCTTTAAAATACTATTAATCATCCATGCCTAAGCGTAGACGGACATTTATCTTTGCCACAGTTGACCTTAACGTTAGTTCTCATTCTTCTTCTGTTTGTACATCAGCACTCCAGCCAGATTGGGTTTCTCCCCTTTGTCCAGTTGTGCCTTGTACTTTTCTGTGTTGGCAGCTTAATTCAAACTCTTCCTTTTACCAAAAAGGAGAAGTTTATTCCATGGCCACATGGGGCCACGAAATGGCACCTTTATGAAGATCCTCGTTGTGAATGTTACCTTCTCCAGGAATTCTTCCCAGACTGTTGCAGGCCGATGCAATTTCTCCATCCTCAGAGTTCTTTAATAACATGACATTGGTGTTCTTTCCTCCCAAAGCACATTTCAGAAAACTAGAAACATACAGGAGAATAGGATAAATAGTTGAAGAAAGTGGGATGAACAGAAAATAAGTCTGGAAAATAAGCCTCTTTGGAAGCCAGGCCATTGATCCCAAATCTGTTTGCCTTCCCACCGCTTTCATTTCTAATCCCAACTGCCTTATCATTTTAGGAAGACATTTTCAGATATAGTGATGACCTGTGGACCCTCTCTCTCCACAAAGACGTTATCCCAAATCTTCCTGGTAAGTTATTTAGGCTTCCTTTATTTTTCACAGCAAATGGACCCCTGGTTACGATCAGCCAAAGACCATGAGCGGGAAAGGGCCACAGCCAGCATGGCGCAAGTTCTAAAGTGCTTATCCGGACACCTCAGCCTGAAGGTAAGCAGCCCTTCAGTCACTCAGGAGGAAGGATCCAAAGCCATCCCATTACTGCCTATTTCCCCTCCACTGTATGACTCCCCAAACTGGTGATTCACTTGGTGCCCCAGATAATACCATGGCACTGAGCATTATTCGCATCTCTGCCCCTCAAAAATTTGAGCAGTTTGAGGCTAGGTACTATGTTGATTAACCTTGCCTCCCTGTTGCTTAACACAAGAGCTGGAACATAACAATACAGTAAATATTTTTGAATGAAGGACCTAAAAATATCTGAGGTTCCCCAGTGGCTTGGACTCTGTGCAGTGTTGTATTTGGAGTAACAAAGTCCAGCAGCAAATATAAGTAAATCAAGTTAAATATCTCCCAGCATCTCACAGAGAAGGGTTCTGGGGCTCCTCTTTTTAAACCCTCTCATTTGTCTCTTTCACTCTCTCCCTTCTCAGTTCTTCTGAATGCTTCTCCATACCTTCTGAAAAGAGTTTCTCAAAATGAAGATCTTCCTTCCTGGATCTATTCCTTTCTTCATCTGTGAGTCTTTTTCCTCTTTCCTAACAGATCTTCCAGGCACTAGAGCTTCTCCTGTGCTCCAGCCATCATTTCTCACAGTCTGCATAACAAGGCCTGGGAATTGCAAGAGAAGTTGGTGGGGTAGGAATTCTAGGTCCTAATGCTAATTTTCTTTCGAGAATTTGTCCTTGATATAAATATTCTAACAGTCATGCTTATTAGAAGGTTGGCATCCCTCTAACTTTCTTATTTCTCCTACTGAACATACGTCCAAACTTTCCACCTCCTTACTGAAGTAAGTTCAGTCCCTCAAATTATGCTACTTCCTTTTTGCTGTCTTTAGTCCATGAGAACAAATAACTTCTAGCCACCACTGACTACCCTGTTATTCTGTCATCACATTGTTTTCCCTTCTACATTTTTCCACCTCAAATGTTGACTGCAGACTAAAGATGAGTTTCAAATGACTCCCTCTTATAATCTTTCCCTAGGCCCTGAACATCTTCCTTAGAGTTTTCTTCCTAGGGAGATCTGCTATTTAAGGGTGCTAAACCGAGATGCCGTTGGAGTCTGTAAACATCTGGAATGCTGTGGGCAGAATTTTGTGTGGTGTAGTCTTCTGGAGTTTTCTGGAAGGTCCATAGCTTTATCAGCTTGATTGAGTTGTTATCATGCAGAGATAGGCAGTGTTAACAATTTTATTTATTCCTTCTGAGAACACTTGTGCATGAGTGTGCACTTTAGTTCCTTCTAGTTCTCCCCATGTGGCCAGAGTTATCATCTTGAAACCCATGTCACTCTTTTGCTCCAATGATTTTCAACTGTTCCTAGAATACAAGGTCTTGTATGATCTAATTCCTGCCTGCCTCCTTGCACTCCCTGACTTACTCCAGCCACACTAGCCTCCTTTCCATTCCTTACCATATAAAGCTCTTTCTGCCTCCTGGCCTTTGCACTTACGACTTCCTCTGCTTGGAATGACTTTCCCCAACTCTTCACATAGCTAACTCCTCCTCATTCTTTAGTGCTTAGTTCAAGTGTTTCCACCTCAAAAAGGCCTTTACTTACAAATAGATCTATGCTTACACTCTGTCTCATCACTCTTTCCTTCCTAAGGCTTCTTAGAATGAGGTTATCATGTTTGTTTACTTATTTATTGCCTGTTTTTCTCTTAGAGAATGTAAATTCCATGGGTGATTATCCTTGTCTTGTTCACCAGAACATCCCCAGTGCCTAGCACAAGCTATGTCACACAGTAGATGCTCAATCAAATATGCATTCAACAGGGGTGCCTGGGTGGCTGAGGGGGTTAAGCCTCTGCCTTCAGCTCAGGTCATGATCCCAGGTTCCTGGGATCAAGCCCCACATTGGGCTCTCTGCTCAGTAGGGAGCCTGCTTCCCCCTCTCTCTGCCTGCTTCTCTGCCTACTTGTGATCTCTGTCAAATAAATAAAATCTTCAAAAAAAAAAAAAAAAAAAGATGCATTCAACAAACATGGGTCAGCTCATGTCCCTTCTCTGTTCACAACTCTCCACAGAAAAAATATTCAAAATCCTTCAAGTATTGCCTACGTTGCCATACCATCAGCCTCATCTAGCTCCTATTTCTTTTGCTCTCGTTTGCGCCAGCCAACCCAACCTACTCATTCCTCAGAAACAGCAAACATAGTCCTTTCTCTTCACACTTGCATGCCATTCCCTCTGCCTGGAATGCTGGTCTCCCAGATCTCTACGGGACTCAGTCCCTGCTTCCAACATCAGTGAGGTCTTCCCTCGTCATTCTAAAACTGCAATTCCTGTCTTTTCTTCCGTACATTTTTTTTTTTACACAGCATTTATGACCATTTAATACATAATAAATTTTATTTCTTTGCTATTTTGTGTTCCTCCAACTAGAATATCCCTTCCACAACCAGGGATGTGATCTTTTGTTCACAGCTTGTATCCACCGTGCCGGTCACAGTGCCGCGACCGTAAGTGTCGTTCTCATAACCATTCCCAGTTCATAAGTGACACTCAGTATCTGTCGAGGGGATGAATGGTTGCATCTGTGAGCAGAAGACATTACACAGCTTTGTGTAGGTGTTGCTGTGCTGATTGTAAATCAATGAAACAGGCTACTGTTCACAATATCTCAGTCCGTTTTTCTAAACAGCCACAGAAGGAATTTCTCTTTGCTTCAGTCCCAGGAACAGTTGTGCTTCCTCTGCCCGGTGTTTGCTGCTTCTCTTATGGGCAGCGTGAATCATATTATATGAGACACAGTATGTAACTCCACATCAGCCCTGAGAAAGTTCAGAGCCTAGCTCTGGGACCTACCTTGAGCAAATGATTGTGCATTCTGCACGCTAACCAAATTCATAACATTTATCTTTGCTACCTTCACTTTCTAGTTTGTCTTTGTTAATTTACTTTTACTCTTTTTACTTTTTTCACTATTTATTTTAAATTATATTTCTTTTTTCCCTAATAAGCAAAATATCAATAAACAAATTTTTAAAATTGTATTAAATGATGCACATCAAGTTTGCATCCAACTTTTTCACTTAGCAAACTAGCACATTTTCCCACCTTATTATAAATTCCTGGGATACTTGATTCCTAATGGTTATATTCCTAATGGAGTCATTGTACCATAGTTCTCTTTACTATTGGGCAATTATTTCCAATATGTGGCCTTTAAAAACAGTTCTAGAATAAATATCTTTTTCTTTTCCTTTCATTTTTTTTTTAAGATTTTTATTTATTTATTTGACAGACAGAGACCACAAGTAGGCAGAGAGAGAGGAAGGGATGCAGGCTCCCCGCTGGGCAGAGAGCCTGATGCGGGGCTCAACCCTAGGACCCTGGGATCATGACCTGAGCTGAAGGTCAAGGCTTTAACCCACTGAGCCACCCAGGTGCCCCTTTTCTTTTCATTTTTAAAAGATTTTATTTATTTATCTGACAGAGAGGCAGAGCATAAGCAGGGGGAGCTGGCAGAGGAAGAGGGAGAAGCAGGCTTCCGGATAAGCAGGGAACCCTACTTGGGGCTTGATCCCAGGACCCTGGCTGGGAACATGACCTGAGTCGAAGGCAAACACTTAACACTTAACTTGACCAGGCACCCCTATTTTTTTTTTTCATTTTTATAAAAATGTGGTTTTTTTTAAAAAGAGGTCTATAAAAGTAGAAATCAGGAGTGCTTGGGTGGCTCAGTGAGTTAAAGCCTCTGCCTTCGGCTCAGGTCATGATCCCAGCATCCTGGGATCGAGCCCCATATCGGGCTCTCTACCCCACGAGGAGCCTGCTTCCTCCTCTCTCTCTGCCTGCCTCTCTGCCTACTTGTGATCTCTGTCAAATGAATAAAAATCTAAAAAAAAAAAAAGTAGAAATCACTTATAAAAATACGGATTACTCTGATATGCTAGCAAAATAGCTTCTGGCCAGAGTTGAGTTTAGAAGGACTGTATGTTTGAGGGCATCTGGAAGTCACAGCCCCACTGGATCCTGTCATCAGCCCTTGTCCCTAATCTGTAAACAATAATTTCACGTGGTTACATTTAGCACTTTTTAACTAGTACAAAATCGAAACATAATCGTTTCCTGTATAGCGCCACTTTAAAATGTTCTTCCTTAGATCTGAGCAGATAAGAGCACTTCATATTGTTGTTTCTAACATTTTGAAAAATCTGATTTAAAAACAATGTTAATAGAAATAACAGGTTTTACCTTTTTTATTCCATTTGGAACACATGGGAAGGTCATTAATTTAAACAAGAAATTAGTGCTTTGTGGTTTTTTTGAAGAATTTAATCTTCTTAGAATGAACATCTTTATATATAAAGCTTTTTCAGTTTTCAGATTGCTATTTAGGTTGGACTCTGTCCTATTTAATACCATCTGATGTACATAGTATATCTACACATGTTAAGTGTTTACCCTAAAGAGATCCAGGGGCTGAATGTAACTCTTGCACTTTCCTGAGTCAAGGGGAGAAGTGGAATCACTTCTCAGGAGCTCAAATCTAAGGGATGCCTGAGTGGCTCAGTGGGTTAAACCTCTGCCTTCAGCTCAAGTCGTGATCTCAGGGTCCTGGGATCAAGCCCTGCATCGGGCTCTCTGCTCAGCGGGGAACCTGCTTCCCCCTTTCTCCCTGCCTGCCTCTCTGCGTACTTGTTATCTCTCTCTTTCTGTCAAATAAATAATAAAATCTTTAAAAAAAAAAAAAAGGAATTCAAATCTAAGGCATAAGATACACCTGCATGCTAATGGGATTTCTTCTTTTTCTTCCCAACTAGCTTCCACTGCGATTCCAAAGGCTTGGGCACCTAGTGGCTCTGATGGCCCTACTGTGCGGGGACCCAGTGAAGCAGGTAGCTGAGGAGGCCGCAGAGGGCACGCACTACCTGCTGCGTATCACCCTGAGGCTGAAGTGTAAGGCTCTGCTGAAGGCAGCAAGGCCCCGAGTCAACCCTCTAGCACAGTGCAAGCACCAGTCCTCTTTGTGCCCTTATTCCCCACCTTCTAGAAGGACTTCTTATGGTAGTTTGTAAAGAGAAAGGTACATCGTCCACAGGCAGAGATGAAGGAACACGGACTTAATGATCAGAATCAGAACACCAGATCAGACCCATCAGTGTCGGCCGTCTGCGTGGCCGTGGAGTTGGAGCAGCCAAATATATGGCCCTGTGGACAAACTGGAGTGATTAGTTTGGTCAGAAGTAGAAGTTTTTGCCATCCTTTGGGCCTTCTTTTATTTATTTATCAGACAAATGTTTTCTGAGTGCTTACTCAGGATCTGACAGTAACCAGAACGCAAGTGGTCCTATCCTTACATGAAACAGAGTCTAGTGAGGGAATCAAACCATCAAAGAATCAACAAATAAGTCTGTTATCATAAACAAAGATAAGTGCTAAAAGGGAAGTGCGGGGGCCATGAGGAAGAATCCCATTTAGTTGTGGGATTCAGAAAAGGCCTCTCTGAGGATACCTTCAGCCAGGTAAAGATGTAAGAAGAGCATATCGAGCAGAGGGAGGAAGAGGTATGAATTTGAGGAGTTTGAAAAATAGAAAGAGGGCCACTGTGGTCAAGGAATGAATCATTGCCCCCCACCGCCACCTAAGACAGACTTTAGAAGGTATCTAGCCCAATGTCCTGCCACTATTTGAGTCTCAGTCTAATCTACCCCCACCAAGAAGTTGCCCTGCCTGGGCTTCCTCATCCCAAGGATAATGAAGCTCTATGCTTCCCAAAATAGCCATTGCATCTCTGGGCAGCTCTGAGTACGTAGACATATAGCCAAGGAAATACAACTGATTATTCATTCAACAAATATTTATGAAACACTTGCTGTCTTAGGGGCACCTTGGTGAACAAGACAGATGAAGTCCCTTTCCCCAAAGAGTATATTTTCCAGTTGGAGAGACAGTATCCCCAACCAAGCATTCAAAGACTTCCCATAAATAAATTTCCAACAAACATGAGTCACGACGCAACATGAAAACAGAGCACCGTGACGGAGTATTGGCAGACTCATTAATCAGCAAAACTGGACACAGAAAGAGTTCTAGTATTGGAATTATCAGACCCTGCAAAACTACGATTTTTTATGGGGACGTGAGCTTCAAAGGAAACTCCTCAAAAGTCCTCACCATTGGCGGAATGGTTTGGCATGGTTGTACTTCCAAATCACTCAAAAAGTTCTGTTCTTAAAAAAACACTTCTCTTTTTCTTTCAGCCTTTTTTATATATTGTCTGACAACAAAGTGGGGGAAATCAGCCTTTAGACTAACACACACTCCGTCCCCCAGGGATTTTTATTCACCTGGGAAAGATAAGAGGAATGAGATCTTAGGATTCACTTCAACCTGGGGATTGACCAAACTTGCAAAATCAAAAAAAAAAAAAAAAGAAAGAAAGAAAGAAAGAAACCAGAAAGTATTAATATTTCACGTTTTCTTCTCAGATGTCAGTCATGAGAAGAAAAATCACCCAAGCTTGAGAAGAGCAATGAAAAAATGTCGAGAACTCCTCGAACTCTACAGTATTAAACGGTTCTACAGTTGTCCCTTCAAAATTGCCCAGGTAATCAGAATGACTAAAATTATAAAGACAACTTGAAATGTTGGAGAGGTTGGGAAATCACCAGAAGTCTCATACATTTTGTCATGAGAATGTAAATTGGTAAAACCACTTTGGGAAAAGTTCTTGTAATTTCATATAAAACCAAATGTAGAAGATTGCCCAGAGAATTTGCTCTCTAAACATTCCATTGTTTGGAGACCAGTCACCATGGTTGTGACTCTTACACACCTTGTTCTATTAGTTTAATGGTTTAGATCAACCTGTCAGTGGGCCCGGTAGCTCTGGATGTCTCTTCAGAAAAGCTCTGCTTCATTGATCACTCTCTTAATCTTAGCTAGCCTCGTACTAGTGTAAACTCTTGTCCAACAAGGAACTGTTAAAAACAAAAACAAAGGAGCTGTTAGAGGCTGTAGTTGACCCGACAAGCCATACACTTTTTAATTAATATATATATTCATTATTCAACAAACATTTAAGCACTAGGTACCCAGCATTCTCTTGGAGATAGGGGAAAAAAGAAAACCTACAGATTTTACTCAGGTAGGGTCTGAGGTGTCAGGCAGTTTAAATTCTCTGTGCATCTGTTTCCTCATCTGTACAGAGGATCTATAAAAATTGGGTTGTAAAGGTTAGATGAGATATTGTACAGAAAATGCTTTGCTTAGTGCCTGTCATATAGTAAGTGCCCAGTAGATTATACCTGTTACCATCATGTGAAGGACCTTATACACTGCCAAGGACAATGAGAAGCAGAATGAAACATTCTTTTAATAGATTGTCTCCAGCCAAGGCATTTTAGCTGTGGCTGGACACTTTGAGCTATATAGCTCCTTGAGTTCTGTTCCTATAAAAGTGTGACTCTTTCTGAGGATCTCAGTGATAAAACCTCTTTCTAAAACTCAGAACTATAGAAAAGCCACACATAGACCCTAGTGGGCATTTTGCTTCTAGTTTTTTACTTCTGCAGACAAGACTGAAATAAACAGCTTTGTACATATTTGTATGCCTCTCTGACTAGCATAACAAAATTAAGGTAATATTCCTTATTCAGCATTCTATCATACTAAGTCTCTTGAAAATGCATCTTCCCTGCATCATTTCAGGTCTTCGAAGTTTTTCTCAATTCCAGTGAGCTCTGCCAGTTTGTAATGACTACGTTGGATAGCCTCGAAAATCTGAAACATCCCTGCACCCAGCAATCAGCAGGAGAATTGCTGATAACGTTGGTAAAAAATGCGGAATCCCGATTTGAGAAGGTAAAAAGCTCAGTAGCCATTTCCTAGGTTTGAAATATTGGCAAGACATCTCCCCTCCTGCAGCTGCTGAGGGCTCTCCTGCTGCTCCTGTTCCGCAGAGAGTAACAACTGAACAGGCCCAGGCTCCATGGGTCAGTGGACTTCCATTCGACAAGCATGTAAAAAACAGCCAATGTATGTGCAACTAGGGATGGATAGTTTTAAAAATCCAAGGTGTGCTCCATATTTTCCAGAACAGTGTATTTTTGGGGGAAGATTTAATTAGCACGAGAATGGTAACTTCAATTTATTTCCTCATCCAGGTTAATAAAGGTGTCAGACTTCTAAAAATCAAGCCATCATCAATCCTCGAAGGAGGCCAACTTAGTAAGCTTAAAATCAACAGATATAGAAATAACAATATAATGATATCATTTAGAAATATGAGAGGAGGGGCACCTGGATGGCTCAGTCAGTTAAATGTCTGCCTTTGGCTGAGTTCAAGATCCCAGAGTCCTTGGATCAAACACAGCGTTGGACTCCCTCTCCCTCTGCTAATGCATTCACACACTCTCTCTCTGAGTCAAATAAATAAAATCTTAAAAAGAAAAAAGAAGTATGAGAGAGGGGCGCCTGGGTGGCTCAGTGGGTTAAGCCTCCGCCTTTGGCTCAGGTCATGGTCTCAGGGTCCTGGGATCGAGCCCCGTATCGGGCTCTGTTCAGCGGGGAGCCTGCTTCTGCCTCTCTCTCTCTACCTGCCTCTCAGCCTACTTGTGATCTCTGTCTGTCAAATAAATAAATAAATAAAACTTAAAAAAAAAAATAAAGGGTTTATCTTCTTGTATAAGAAGAAGGCTGGAAGCATTTTCTAGAACCTGGCTCAGCAACTCAGCAGTGTCATCAGAGAGCCAGGGGCTTTTCCTTATTACTACATGAACGCTTCCCGTTCATGTAGTCATAAGGTGGTCACAGCAATTTTAGACTTTATGAGAAAATAAGGCTATATCCAGCAAAGAAGAGAGATATTGTCCTCCTTTTGTCCCTTTAATCAGGGAGAAATGTGTTTCCCAAAAGGTTTTTTTCCCCCCATGTTTCAGTGACCAGAATTGCATTGCATGCCAGCTTAAACCAGCTTCCGGCAACTGGGTGTAATGAGGGCCATTTTATTATAAGGGTGTTGATGACTGCCTCTCTGAGAGGCTGACATTGCCACAGACTTGAAGCCATGAGTCTATGAGTGGGCAGAGTAGGCCAAGCAAAATAATGGACCAAAGCTCGATGGCTCCTGTTTCCTTCTCCTGAGTATGGTAGTCATCTCTGGGTGGAAGGCAAGTATGGACTCCTCTGACATTCTCAGAGTCAGAGTGGAAAAAAAATCCCAACTTCCTTACAACACTTTTACTAGTTTGGTTTATTATAAATCAATGTATAGTCATCAAAGAGAAATTTAAAAATATGTAAGCAAAAAAATAAATATCCCATCATTCAAAGTCATATTATTAATATCTTTGTAAGTTCCTCTAAATTGTTTTATGTATGTATACATACATGCAGATTTATTTTAAGTAGTTTTTTTTTTAAGATTTATTTATTAGCCTGCCTGGGTGCCTCAGGCCATTAAGTGTCTGCCTTTGGCTCAGGTGGTGATCCTAGGGTCCAGGGTTTGAGGCCTATGTCAGGCTCCCTGCTTAGCAGGGAATTGGTTTCTCCCTCTGCCCCCTCCCCCTTGCTTGTGAGCTCTCTCACTCTCTCTCTCTCTATCTCTCAAAATAAATAGATAAAATATTTTTTTAAGATTTATTTATGGGGGAGGGCGCCTGGGTGGCTCAGTGGGTTAAGCCGCTGCCTTCAGCTCAGGTCATGATCCCAGGGTTCTGGGATCGAGTCCCACATCGGGCTCTCTGCTCAGCAGGGAGCCTGCTTCCCTTCCTCTCTCTCTGCCTACTTATGATCTCTGTCTGTCAAATAAATAAAATTTAAAAAAAATTAAAAAAAAAAAAAAAGATTTATTTATGGGGGAGTAGAGAGAGCTGGGGCTGACGTAGGGCTCATTCTCACAACCCATGAGATCACAACCAGAGCAGAAACCAAGAGCTCAACCGACTATGCCACCCCAGGTGCCCCTTAAGTAGTTTTGATAATATATTAAACATTCTTGTCACCCCCCCCAGGACCTTTCAGAAAGAGCCACAGTATCCTCAGTAACTGTCATTGTCCCATAGGATTAAGGTCTTAGTGATTTGTTTTCCTTCTTCAGGTGCCAGAAATTATGGGAGTGATCTGTGCCCGGCTCTCCATAATCAGCCAGCCTAAAGTCCGACGACAAATCATAAATACTGTGAGTTTGTTTATCTCCAGGCCCAAGTACACAGATACAGTGATCAGCCACCTTCTGTGTCATCCAGTACCATATGACAGGTAACAGAACCTGGTACAGCCTCTGAATTAAACTGGGGTAGTTGACACAGCCCCTGGTATTGTTGAATGTGGCTGCTCTCAAAAATCTGATGATATTCTTGTAGACGAGATAAGATATAGAAAGATACTGCAATATATGTCAGGATATAATGCATAAACATAAGGAAACAATCCAACAAATCCAGAATGAGAACATTTTATAAGACAGCTGGATTGAACTCTTCAAAAAAATTAATGTCATGAAAGAAAACATGCTGGGGCCACTAGTCTAAATAAAAAGACACTAAAGAAACATAACCAAATGCAATATGTGAACTTTATTGCATCCTGGATGAAAATGAAAGCTACGAAAAGAACATTTTGAGAAAATTTAAATATAGACTCTGTAATTGATTACTGAATTAGTGTAACTTTCTTAGGAATGAAATGGCAATGTGGTTATACAGAAAAATGTTCTTATTCCTAGGAGATCAATACTGAAGTGATTTAGGGGTAAATATCATGATGTCTGTGATGTACTTGAGATTTAGCCAGAACATAAACACAAAAAAGAAAATAAAAATAAATCCATAAATAAGAATAAATCATTTGGAGGAACAAACAAGATGATTTTTTTTTTTTAGACTTGTGGCTTTCAGAGTTGGAGACATCCTGGAATTTCCAAGAGATCCCTTCTGAGGAAGGCAGTGAAGCATTAAGAGAAGGTTCTAGGCCCCCACCCCCTTCAACCAGAGCGTCATCTGTCTCTTACTTTTCTTTTTTTCTTTTTTTTTTTTTTTTAATGTAAGCTGTACACCCAACTTGGGGCTCAAACTCATGACCCCAAGACTGAGTTACATGCTCTACCAACTGAGCCAGCCAGATGCCCCAAAGTGGCATCTCATCTTGTCTGCTTCATGTATCACGATTCTGGGTAGTTATTATATTTGGAGAAAAGATTTCCTAGCTTTAAACTGTTTAAAAACCACTTTCAGTGAATGGTTCTCACAGTGTCTTGGTGTAGTGCTGATTTTTTTTTTTTTTTTTAAAGATTTTATTTATTTATTTGTCAGAGAGAGAGCAAGCACAGGCAGACAGAATGGCAGGCAGAGGCAGAGTGAGAAGCAGGCTCCCTGATGAGCAAGGAGCCCGACGTGGGACTCGATCCCAGGACGCTGGGATCATGACCTGAGCCGAAGGCAGCTGCTTAACCAACTGAGCCACCCAGGCGTCCCTGATTTTTTTTTTTTAGTGACTTTTTTTTTTTACTGATTTGATTGGTTTAAGCTGAATATAAGACACTCTACCACTAAATCAAATAAAAGATTTTTACCCATCCAAAGAAAAAAAACGAGTTAATACATATCTATTTTTTAATATTCTTTGTTAAAGAATAAAGAATTTTATTCTTTAATAAGAAAAAAAACTCTACTCAGTTGGTAGAGCATGCAACTCTATTTCAGGGCTGTAAATTCAAGCCCCACATTGGGTGTAGAGATTACCTAAAAATAAAATCTTTAAAGTAAATTAATTGACTAAAATAAAATAGAATATTCTTTTATATGTTTCTCTAATACATTATTGTTATCTTTACTACTTGTCGGGATGCCTGGTTGTCTCAGTCGTTAAACGCCTGCCCTCAGCTCAGGTCATAATCCCCGGGTCCTGGGATCAAGTTCTCTATTGGGCTCCCTGCTCTGCAAGGAGTCTGCTTCTCCCTCTTCCTGCTGCTCCCCCTGCTGGCGTTCTCTCTCTTTCTCTCTGTCAAATAAATAAAATTAAAACAAAAACAAAACAAAACAAAATCTTTACTACTTGCTTCATCTTATCTACACTAGATCCTTATATGAAACATATGACTTAGTACAAAATATTAAATATACTTAGTTATTTTAAAGTGTAACTTTAGCATTATTTTATTGTTTGTATTTGTTCTAGCTCTTGGATGAATTTGAGAACCTACTGCTTTAGATCATATGAGAATTGTGCAATCTGCTAGAAATGAAAATGGCATAGTCAGGAAATTTCATTCTTATTATTTTTTTGGTCATTTACCTGAAGTCTTTTAGCTGGTTTACATGCATATTGGGTGATTGTTTTTAGGAGTCTGTTCAAAGCATCTGCTATGTGCAAGGTGCTGTTTGGGCTGGGGAGATAAGGGGCAGAACACGGACCCTGACCTCAGGCAGTGCACAGTGTGGGAGCAGACACAGACGACTAACAGGATTCCAAAGCAAAATAAGACAGTTCTTTGGAAGCTCAAAGGAGATGACTTAACTAGATGAAAGACTGGGGAGGGATTGCTAAAAGCAGGGCTGCCCCAAGCTGAGTATTTAGTGTAAGTTAGCCAACTAGAAGGTGGGACAGGGCAGTGGAAAAGGCATTCCAGACAGAAGGGAAAGGCAAAACAAAACACAAGGAAGGGATGAAACAACTTGATGAATTCCCATTCCCAAAGGGCTGATGGGCAAACAAAAACCATGTCACATCTACAGGATCAGTATCACTGGAGGTAAAACCTGTCCCATATTTTTAGCAAACTCTCCAGATGATTTTTTTTTCACACTAAAATATGTAAACCGATGCCTTATAGGCTAACATTGTGTTTTCCTAATTCAGATACATTCCCAGCACACTTACAACTGTGCAGCAGACCAAAAGCATTTTTAAAACACTTCTTTCACAATAAATAGCTTTTCAAATTACTTCATTTACAGCCTCGGGAATTCAGAGAGAAAAAAAAAAAAAACAAGGCTAAGTAAGTATAGGAATTTCTTAATTTCATCCCAAGAATGAATGTTCATCTTCTGTAGTCTACTTCACCAGCTATGAGCCTTTTCAGCATTTCATGTTGCCTTTCTGGCCTTCCCTTTAGGAGTCCTTTAAGACCTTCTTACTCTGTTTTATTCACAGATTAGTATTATCAGAGTAGGGAGTGACATGTTGGAATAGTCCTTAAGCCTCTCAATTTTTAGAGCGATTCTGATACATAGACAACTGGAAGACCACACTTGATCTAGCACACAAAGATACCTTGTGATAGATTCCGAAAATAAGATAATGGATCAAAACCATGAGTAACTCCCAATCTTCCCCCCATAATGCTCCTTTACAGTGTTTATATACAATTATATATATATATGACTTATGCCCCACCTTTGAGTCAACAATAGAAGAAAGTTATTACACAGTGTCTTTCTTCAAGAGGAGATCTCTTCCTGGTGCCTGGGTGGTTCAGTTGGTTAAGCATTTGCCATCAGCTCAGGTCATGATCCCAGGGTCCTGGGATCGAGCCCCGCATCAGGCTCCGGGCTCAGCAGAGAGCCTGCTTCTCCCAACCCCTCTGCAGCTCCCCCTGTTTGTGTGCACCTCCCCTCTCTCCATCAAATAAATAAAGTCTTTAAAAAGAGAAAGAGAAGGAGAAGAGATCTTTTCTGAAGAAAATCAAAGCTTTATTTCTGTGCTTGCGCTTGTCCATAATTTAAGGACCATAGACTGGGTTAAATAAGTCTTTGAATGCCTTCTGTGGGCCTGGCATTGTGCTAGACCTTGAGGGATTCATGGAAGAAAAACTGGGCATCATCCCTGCCTCCAGAGGGAACAGATAGACATGTACAGAGAACCGAAAATAGCAGACGTAAGATTAAGGCAACCTCTATACGCGAGAAGTTTTTAAAAAAATAAAGTTTAAAAAAATTTTTGAGTGTTATGAGAACCCTCATAAGAGACATGGTAAAGAAGCAGCAAGAGCTTCACAGAAGAGAGGACATTGGAGCAGGACCTAGAAGGGTTTTGATGGGCAAGGGAGAGTTTTGGAAGGGACCTTCCAGTTTAAGGAAATGAAATGGGCAGAGCTAGAGCTGTCAAAGTCCGGTGTTAGTTTGGAAAAGGTGAATGGTTTGGGATAGCCAGAGCACAGGTATGTATGTGACATATTTTTAGCAGAATAAAAGGTGAGATTGAAAAGGTAAATTAGGACTACTTTGTCCTGAAGTCCATGATGAGGCATAGGAACTTGAGTTTATAAAACACTGAGAATGGGGCACCTGCATGGCTCAAGTCAGTTAAGCGTCTGACTTCAGCTCAGATCATGATCCCAGGGTCCTGGGATCGAGTCCCACATCAGGCTCCTTGCTCAGCAGGGAGCCTGCTTCTCCCTCTGCCTGCCATTCCCCCTGCTTGTTCACTCACTTTTCCTCTCTCTTTTTTAAAGATTTTATTTATTTATTTGAGAGAGAGAGAGAGAGCACAAGCATGGCCAGGGAAAAGGGAGAGGCAAACTCCCCACTGAGTGGGGAGCCAGAAATAGGCCTTGATCCCAGGACACTGGGATCATGATCTGAGCTGATCTGGGATCATGATCTGCTTAACCGACTGAGCCACCCCTCTCTCTGACAAATAAATAAAATCTTAAAAAAAAAAAAAAACAACTAAGAGTAACTGTAGTGAAGTCAGATTATAAGACTTTTCATAGAGCTGAGCAGAGAGGAAAAGCACTTCTAGATCAGATTCCAGATTCTAGAAAGGTTATGGTCATCATGGTGGGCTTAGGATAAGCTATTGCCTGAAGCCTCCTGTTCTTTGGGATTTCTAGGCATCTGGCTGAGGTGTGGAGAACTCTGGAGGTGGAACTGCCCAGCACTACCTGGATTCTGTGGAGACTTCTGAGGAAGCTACAGAAATGCCATAATGCGCCCACCCAAGAGAAGATGGCCTATGTGGCTGTTGCTGTAAGCCATTGAGCTTTACCCCTCCCTACTTCAGCACAACGTGCTCCCTCTCTTGAGACAACTGGTCCAACACTCCATTTGGAGAGTGTCTTTCTTCATCCCTCTCAAAGTTTGCTTCTGTCATCCATGTATAAATCTATAATGTCTCTACCAAGGGATTGACATGGAGGACGCTCGGGAGAATGAAGGAATCAGTATGGTTTAATGAAGTTTGGTTTAATCAGTGTGGTTAAAATGTTCCCTTTAAAAAATATGTATTATCGGGGCGCCTGGGTGGCTCAGTGGGTTGAGCCGCTGCCTTCGGCTCAGGTCATGATCCCAGGGTCCTGGGATCGAGTCCCGCATCAGGCTCGCTGCTCAGCAGGGAGCCTGCTTCCCTTCCTCTCTCTCTGCCTGCCTCTCTGCCTACTTGTGATCTCTCTCTGTCAAATAAATAAATAAAATCTTTGGGGCGCCTGGGTGGCTCAGTGGGTTAAGCCGCTGCCTTCGGCTCAGGTCATGATCTCAGAGTCCTGGGATCGAGCCCCGCATCAGGCTCTCTGCTCAGCAGGGAGCCTGCTTCCTCCTCTCTCTCTGCCTGCCTCTCTGCCTGCTTGTGATCTCTCTGTCAAATAAATAAATAAAATCTTTTAAAAATAAATAAATAAATAAATAAATAAAATCTTTAAAAAAAAAATATGTATTATCTGGGGCACCTGCGTGTCTCAGTTGGTTAGTTGTCTGGCTCTTGATCTCAGCTCTGGTCTCATCTCAGGGCTGTGAGTTCAAGGTCCACATTGGGCTCTACCTCGGGCATGGCGCCTACATAAAATCAAATGAAATATTCATAATAGTTAAAGAGTAATACATAACTCGTAAAGAAAAAAGTCAAATAATATGGAAGAATATAACATAGAAAGAAAAGGTTCTTCTTGAGCAGAGGTTGGCAAACATTTTCTGTAAAAGCAAAATATTTTGGGTTTTCAGTCCCCACATAGTCTCCAAAACGTATTCTTTTGATTTTTTAAAAAATTCATTTATTTATTTATTTACTTGACACAGAAAGAGAGATTACAAGTAGTCAGAGAGGCAGCCAGAGAGAGAGAGGGAGAAACAGACTCCCTGCTGAGCAGAGAGCCTGATTCAGGACTCTATCCCAGGACCCTGGGATCATGACCTGAGCCGAAGGCAGAGGCTTAACTCACTGAGCCACCCAGGTGCCCCTTCTTATGATTTTTTAAAAAACAGTCTTTCAAAAATCTAAAGACCATCCTTAGCCTAGCTGTATCTTCTCCCTAAAAATGAACTTTCTAGAAGTATTTATAGATATGTAAATTTTTTGTGTATATATTTATTTGGTATACCTTTTCCCCATTTTTTTTCTTTTAAGTAGACATTTTTAGAGTAGTTTTAGGTTTACAAGAAAATTGAGCAGAAAGTACAGAGTTTCTACTCTCTGTCCCCTACATGTACAGCCTCCCCACTATCAATATATACTTTTTATTTTATTTTCTTCCCTACCAGCTTATAGTTCAGCTTTCTCTGGCCTAAGTTATTATATAGGTTTTCTTTAGCTTCCAGAATTTTTCTGACATCTCTAATCTGCCATTGTCTCCTCCCCTATTCTCTCTATTCTTGTGGATTTATACTTTTTTCTTTAATCCCTATGTTATCTTAGTTTTAGGAGTTGTGTCAAATAAAGTTATATATTTAATCATGTTAGCCTATAAAATTGTATGTATATAATTAGGATCAAATTACATATATCATTTGATGATCTGCTTTTTTAAATTTAATAATATATAAATAATAATTTAATACTTTCCATTTCAAAATATGAGACTCTCTGTTATCCTTTTCATGGCTGCATAGTAATTCATTTATTATTAACTTCTTAAAAATAGATAATATGTAACATGGTACAGAACCATTTATTTGATTTCCAGATTTCCTCTTCATGAACATTTTGACAATTTTTAAACTTTTGCCATTAAAACAGAGCTACAGTAAACTTAATCATGCATATAAAATTTTGTCATACATACCCAATTATTATTACTTTTTTAATTAGACTCCACCCCCAGTGTGGAGCCTAATGTGGGGCTTGAACTCATGACCCTGAGATCAAACACTGATCTGAAAAAAAAAAAAAGACCTGATCTGACATCAGGAGTTGGATCCTCGGAGCACCTGTGTGGTACAGTCAGTTAAGCACCTGACTCTTGGTTTCAGCCCAGGTTGTAAGATTGAGCCCCACATTGGGTTCCCCACTCATCATGGGAGTCTCTTTAAGACTCTCTCTTCCTTGTCCTGCCATGCTCTCTCTCTACAATCAGTCAATCAATCTATCTTTTTTAAAAGAAGAGTTGGACACTTAACCAACTGAGCCACCCAGGCACCCCCTAATTATTTTCTTGGGATTAAGGCCGTTGTAGGGGAATTTCTAGCTTAAGGGGTAGACTTACTTAAATTTTTGAGAATTCCCAGATGGTCCTCTAAAACATTGCCTTCTACCAGTCATATATGAGAATGCCCATTTACCCACACCCTTACCGCACTGAGCATCCCTAGTCTTTTCATTGCTGCCTAGCTGATAGGCGAAAAAAGATTATTATTTTAATTATATTACTGTTATTGGTGAGATTAAACATTTGTATATGTTTTGGGTTTTTTTTTCAAAGATTTTATTTATTTATTTGACAGAGATCGAAAGAGAGAACACAAGCGGGGGGAGTGGGAGAGAGAGAAGCAGGCTCCTTGCAAAGCAGGGAGCCCTATGCAGGACTTGATCCCAGGACCCTGGGATCATGACCTGAGCTGAAGGCAGATGCTTAATGACTGAGCCACCCAGGCGCCCTGTATATGTTTTTTAATTAGCCATTACATTTTGTGACTTATCTGCTCATGTTCTGTACACCAGAGCTCCTCATATTAAATATGCACACAAGCCACAGTCAGCTGAGGGTCTTACTGAAATGCACATTCTGATGCAGCAGATCTGGGGTGGGGCTTGCATTTCTAACCAGTTCCCAGATGATACCAGTGCTGCTGGTATGTGGCCCACACTTTGAGTAGCCTTTCCATTTTCTTCTTACTGATATATGAAAGTTTATGTATTAAAAATATCACATTGGGGTGCCTGGGTGGCTCAGTTGGTTAAGCACTCAGGCATAAGCAGAAATAAAGCAAAAGTAAGGAGCAGTGCTAGCAGGAGTTCAGCTCTATGGTGTGCCTTTTCTACCACAGGCAACAGATGCCCTTTATGAGGTGTTTGTGGGGAACAGGCTCCGAGCAGCTACATTCCGACTCTTTCCTCAGCTTCTCATGACACTGCTCATCCAGATACACCACAGCATCGGTCTCACCATGTCTGATGTCGCCATCCCAAGTGGCCTGTACTCGGAACAGGAAATGTCTTCAGAGGTCACCCCTTTGTGGTACAGCCTGTCATGATTTCATTGACTTTAACTAACACTAAGCTCTAAGCCCTATGCACTGTAGTAGATACAAAGATAGCCAAGGTGTGGTTCCAGCCAAGGGAGAGCTCACAGTCTGCTATCATGGGACATCAGGATGAAATGCCCAGGAATCATTCTGGGCTTTCACTGGTTCGTTGCCTGTTTTATTGGCACCAAGATAAACTCAGTAGAAATTCATTAGTGCCATGGTGGCACATGACTTTCTTTCAGAGGAAGTGCTGTAATGTGGATTATTCAAGAACACCTCACTAAAAGTCAGGAGAACTGAACTGTAGTTCTCATTCATTGAACAAACTATGTACTCGGGGGCAAATCTTCCTTTGTTCTGTGCCTTGGTTTTCCTATCTGTAAATTAGGTCAGACTAGGTATTCTCCAAGGACCCTCTAGTTTTAGAATTTTCTGGTGTTATAGCTAGCTTACTAGTTCGGTAAGTAATGGAGATAGTTAATTTTATTTTTTTAAGTAATCTCTCCACCAAATGTGGGCTTAAACTCATGAACCAGAGATCAAGAGTCACATGCTCTACTGGCCCCAGTTGTAGGGGTAGTTTAAAGTTGTAGGGGTAGTGTTGGGGACACCTGGATGGCTCAATCAATTAAGCACCTGACTCTTGATGCAGGGTCATGAGTTCAAGCCCCTCATTGAACTCGTGATGGCATGAGCCTACTTCAAAAATAAATAAATAAAATATCATAAAAAGCAGTGTGGGTATATTTTATGGGGGGAGGGGTATATACTGTATCTAAATAAAGCATTTTTTAAAAAGCAGTGGGTATGGGTTTAGCGTCCCATATCATCTATTTTATCATAGATTTCAAACTCCCAGGGAAACAAAATCTAGTTAGATTTCTTTACACTAAAAATTTGTGTGAATAGGCCTTTCAAGTTATTAGAGCATTAAGAGCTTAGGGGAAAATTAGAAAGAAGAGAAGTACCATCCAGAGCTATCAATGCATGGCCCCCCCTCCGTGGTAGAGCAGGGTGATTGTGTGCTGATGAGTTGGAGGGACCTATTCTATTCACTTTGCTGTTTTGGTTTTGATTTAGCTTCGCCATACAAGCTACAAAGACTCTCCTCCTTAGAACATTGTGCTGGCAGGAATTCAACATCATGGAAAAGAATAAAGGATGGACCCTCCTGGAAGGAAAAGAGTGCCATCTTCAGGGAGTATCTCTCCTTGCCAAGTAAGATTTCCTTGCCGTGCAGACCTGCTCTAAATCAGCATTGCTTTAGATATTTTTCCCCCTTCTAGTTAAAATAGCAACCAAGGTTGGATAACATCACAGGTTAAAATACCCATAATTCAGGCAGATTTTTTCAGATGTCCTGCCACTGCCATACTGTCCTGTGCACCTAAAGCTGGGCAAAATCTTCAGCGGGCCCCTGGTCCCGGGCATAATGCAGTCTGGATAGGAGCATTTCTAAGAGGTGTCCTGTTGGGTGTTCTGTTTTGCAGTGCATTGCTGGAAAGAAATCACCTCCTTGCACATAAAGTCATGTACTTGTTGGTCCCTCTTCTTAACCGAGGGAATGATAAACATAAACTCACATCTGCAGGATTTTTTGTGGAGGTAAGATTTGTTGGAAACTGGATTCTGGAAGCCTGTAAAGCCACAGTATCTGCCTTCCTGGGCCCTATCCAACTTCATGGCAGGCTGGGATCCACTTCAGATGTGGGATAGAAAGAGTTTCAGATTCAAGCCTACTGAAATGCTTCTTGCCATATATTCACTATTCAGCATTCTTTATGTACTTACAGTGTAAACATCACTCTGTCACATAGTAGAGGAAAATAATACATTTTGGAGTTGGTGGGAAGGTGGTTCCCCTCATGAAAAAGGGCTTAAAGGTAACTTCTTTGGCTGATTTCTGGGTTTTTCCAGCTTCTCCAGAGTCCAGTGGCTAGGAGACTACCCAGCATATACTCTGTCGTCCGCTTGAAAGACTGGCTACATCACGGAAATAGCGTCTTCAAATTTCTTGCCCTAAAGGGACTGCGCTATCTTATCAAACACCAGGAGATGGTAGGAGGGGCCCCCAGACCACTGATTCGTAAGTCACAAATCAAACATACCCCAGAAAGATACCCAAGAAACTGGTAACAGCCGAGAAGGAAATTGGGTAGCCTGGGAATAGGAGCAAGTGGGAATACATCCCTTTGTACCTTTTAAATGTTATGCCTAGGAAATATGTAAGTACTGACTTAAGTATTTCATGAAATCCTAAGAAATAATTCCAAGTCATCTATATTCATAATATTTGAAACCTATAATTTGTGTAAGGTGGTACCCTCACTGTCATCACAGCCTAGGTGACATACAGGTATCCTTTTATGTCTTGTACCGTGTTCCCCTAAGGAGTACATTGGACAGACTGTGATATCTGCTCCCAGGATATATATCATCTAAACAAGGATTGCTGACATTCATGTTGAAAGAGAGCTCATTGTCGACAGACCTAGCTAGAAACCAGGCCTGGATCAGAAGGAAAAATCAATCCCTAGGCTTTCAATTTTATCACTTGAGTTCTATTTTTTTAAATATTTAAGTATGTATCTATATCTGAAACAAAGATGACAGAGGCTAGCATGTTAATTCTGGTTGTTTGGATACATGAATATTTGTTGCCTTATTCTATTTACTTTTTACATGTGTGTTTTAAACTGTAAAACTCTGAAACTGCTTCCTTTTGGGAATTTGAGAAGAACAGAATCCCAATTCAGGATGGGGAGGACCCTTAACGGTCCTCCATCTCTGCCGGAATTCCTCCAAGGAATCTTATTGCCTCTGGATATATTCCATATTAGAGAACTCACTATGACCTGATCTAGCCATTCCACTTTCCTCTCATAGGAAGCAATTTCTTACATTAATCCTTAATCTGTTACTGGCCATCCCCACTGGGTCCCACTTCTGACCAATGAGGCAACTTATAATAGCTCTGCCCCCTTCTCTATGTATCAGCCCTGCCAATACTGAGAGGGCAGTCATGGCCTCTGATTACTTTTCTGCTCTCAACTAGCCAGTGCTACCAATTCAACAAGCACCAGGTACTGAGTAAACGTGGGGAGCCCTACTTTGCTATCAGATGAAGTGCTCTCAGGAGGGTGATGGTGCACTCCCTTTGGACACACAGAGGGAAGGCATCAAGAGTCTGTTGCCGTGCATCTTAGACCTCTTATGTGAAACCGATGAGAAGATTGTTTTGTTGGCCATCCAGATACTCCTACAACTCGTTGGAACAATGGATTTCACCACCCTGACAGCCATGATGAAGACTCTGTTCTCCCTATTTGGTGATGTAAGACAATGAGAGAGGAGAGACTTTCCTAGGGGAGGGTAATCAACATAACAGGAAATAGAAATTGGGATAGTAATAAATATATTCTATTTTATATAGATCTTTTTATGTTCATAGCACTTTCAAATCTCCTCTCTTAATAAGACCCTTCCAGGTAACCTGTGATGTTAGTAGGACTGGTGTTAACTGTTTTTCAGATTCAAAAACAAAAACAAAAACTGAGATGTAGAGACTTGCCAGGGTACCACCCTGATCATGGGCTGGGGAAGGAGTTTGTATAAGAAAAGATGTCTTTCAAGGAACAATCAGGACTGGGTCAAGGTGGTGGGACCATACATTTGTCCCCATCCCATATCCCAAAGATTAAACAAAAAGTCTGTGGAGCACAATGAACTCTTCCTTGGAAGAGTCAAGTACGGCAAGGCTTGGATTCTGAATTTCAGCAAAACAGCATGTAGCTGTGCTGACCATGCTTCCCATTTGCAGAATGAGAGAACAACCAGTTCTACAAAGCAGCAGGTCCTGCTATCTCTATATATTTGACTTCTTGCCCTCAGCTACCTACAGCTAAATAGCCTCATGCTAGGACTGGGGCTTCACCCAACCTAGCCCTTATAAGTTATTCGTGAACACTTTCAGTGACTTGCTTCCCTTTGGATACTCCCTTTGTAGGTGAGACCTGATGTTCATCGTTTCTCCATGACCCTCTTTGGAGCCTCCATAAAGTCTGTGAAACACACAGATAAGAAGGGTGTAGAGAATCAAGTCCTGGACAGCTTGGTTCCACTACTTCTGTATTCTCAGGATGAAAATGATGCAGTAGCAAAGGTAATCCCTCTGTCAACTTTTTTCATGCCCGAATAACTCCCAATCCAGAGCCAAATCTGCAAATAAGCATTCCATCTTTGAGGGCGGGGACTTTGTGGTACCATCTTTATTCACCATCTCCTATAACACAGGCTACCTTTCAATTATTTTGCCTAAGTGAATTGTGTGAAAAATCTTACTCCTTACTTCTGTATAGCATATCATGGTCCTTTGTGGGTAAGAACAATGTATTATACCATTTTGTAGCCCCACCCCAATGTTTAGCCTAGCGCAGAGCCTAAATACAGTGCCGGATTCAACAAACTCTTTTTGTTGACAGTGACAATATCCCATTATCATTTTCCTTTATTCAAGAACTGCTTTCTGGCCTTTAGACAAATAGACTTGTGTTGAGGCTCAGTCAGAAATAGTAGCTTCTTGGGGCGCCTGGGTGGCTTAGTGGGTTGGGCCTCTGCCTTTGGCTCGGGTCATGATCTCAGGGTCCTGGGATTGAGCCCCACATCAGGCTCTCTGCTCAGTGGGGAGCCTGCTTCCCCCCCCACCGCCGCCTGTCTCTCTGCCTGCTTGTGATCTCTCTGTCATAAATAAATAAAATCTTAAAGGAAAAAAAAAAAGGAAGAAAGAAATAGTAGCTTCTCTGATAATCTAGAGAAGCCTCTATGTCTCCTTAATCTTCCAAGAGTTTCTGCCATAGAGTTGTGGGTAGGAAGTCATCATTTTTGGTACTGTCTCATTACTCAGGAGCCTGTTCATTCCAATCTGCTAGCTATGACCACCAGATACAATAGTCCAGAAGTATGTTTAGGCTGCAAGGATTCTGGAAAAATGCTGGAGCTTTCCCCTACCCATGTTCCCCATTACAGAAATAAAAGCAGGATCAGAAACAAGACTTAATATTATGGTGGGCCCTGGTACCTTAACTTGGGAGGAATATTATGGTCTTGTAACCAGAAATATGGACTATTTCAGGGGCACCTGGGTGGCTCAGCCAGTTGGGCATCTGCCTTTGGCTCAACGTTGTAGGCTCCAGTTCATTTATTCTCACTGCTGTGCAGAATCCCATCTTGAGGATATCCTCACACTTCGCCAGTGCTCCTATTCTTGGACATTTAGAGTGTCTCCCATTTTTCATTATCACAATGCTGCAATGAGCATTCTTTTATGTATTTCTTTGTGTACCTGTGTGAGAATTTCTTGAGGGCACAAACCCAGAAGTAGAATATCTGAGTATCTTTAACTTTACTAGATATTTACAAATAAACAAAGTAACTGAACTTACTTGTATTCCCATCAGTCCCCAAAGGAATTTTAATGGCCCAAATCTAGTGGACCTGGGACAAGGTATTTGCTTGAATACTTGTAAGAGGTGGTGTGTGGCACCTGGGAGGCATTCTGAGAGCTGTGAACAGAGAAGCCCATTAGCTTGCTAATTTTTAGCATCTTGCTAAATTTTACTCAAGCATCTGGATCCGGAGGAGATCAGTACTGTCCAGAATTCCTCCCAAGCCAGAGATTCCACAAGGGCTATGAGGAGAGGAGCTCCACTTCCCTGTGTAAAGTGACAGGAGAATGTCACAGAGCAGCAGGTGGGTGGAAGAGCCCTATCTGTCAGACATGGGGTCATGGGAACCCCTGCCCCAGTCCCTGCTCTGGTATTACACCGGATAGCTCTCACTTCTGTCTCAGACCAGTGGTTTCTATAGCCTCCCCACAACTCTGCAGGCTTCATGGGTCCCCTTTAGGGGGACTGTTGAGGGAAATTGAAAGAGGACAGGACTGTGGTTCCTTTCTATCCCTGCCCTCACTTTAGCCAGTTTTATTTGAAGAAAGTTTACTTCAGCTAAAAAATGTCTGAAGATACTGATCTCGGATAATCCTTTTCACAGGAAAGCAGACAAGTCCTAACGATATGTGCCCAGTTCCTGAAGTGGAAGCTGCCTCCGGAAGTGTACTGCAAAGATCCCTGGTACATCCGCCCTAGTGAAGCTGGAGCAGTCTGCAAATTCTTTGTATGTGAGCAATAATGGCTTGGTTCACTCGTTTATAGGCTAGCATACTTATTTTTTTCTGATGTAGTTTTTAATGGAGGAACATGACATAAAGGAAACATTTCTCATCCCTTCACATCAGCAGCTGATATCCATGAACTGTCTTGTATGAGGAATCTATTTCTCTAGTTTCCTCCAAATTGAGTCACAGATTCACTTTCTGTAACCACGTTTCCTTATAAAAAAAAGACTCTCTTTTGAATTCTTAGGAGCCCCACTAACCTGGTTCAGAGGCTATGGGTCAGGCTGATAATGGTACGTGCAAATGAGTGGAACTGGGTTGTGTATCGCCTTTACAATGATCTCTCATCCTTTTCTTGGATATAGTGGATTGTCTTACCCTCCACTAGAACGTGTTTAGGGGGCCCCGAGCAAGGGTTGCCTTGCTGTTGTAAGCCACGCAGCATGATGGCAGCACACCACTGGCTCTGCTAGGGCCCAGATGGCGTCCTTTCCCCTCACAAACTTGACAAAGGTTACTGGGGCCCATCTCAGGGGCAGACTCAAGCTAGGGAAGCTTCGAGGGGCCCATCCATAGTTTTCTGGACTTCTGACTCTAGGACTGCTGGGATCCTACTACAAAGACGCTAGGACTGGGGTCTTCCATATGTGTAACCTATTTAGGACCCAGTGCAGGCTCCTCTGATCAGACTTAATGGGTCTAGGAAGCCTCACAATACCATTGTGTCAGCCTTTCCACTGAGGATTATCTCTCTGACCTGTACCGGAACCTACATCCAAGGCACTGGGAGCAGAAACTCAGTGCTCTCAATACACAAGATCATAGGTTGTCCATGTGACATCATAAGATCTCTGGGAACAGATTCTGATGATCCTCCTCCTATCCCTGAGCTGCCTGTCTTTGTAACAAAACCACCGAAAGGTCCATTTATTCACCCAGTAAACGCAACATATCCAATATGCAGTGGGCCATAGAGAACCCAGAAACATGGCAATGATAGAAACTTCCTAAGGGAGCTTGCTAGCTAGTAAAGGCAATAAAACCACTGTGGAAAATTAAATAGAAACTCAAGATGGAAAATTATATGTGTCAAGAGAGGGGTACTTGCAGAAATGCTCAGAGCAGAGTGAGCGATCAGGGAGGAGCTGATCGGGAGGCAGAGCTCAAGGCAGAGCTGAGGGAACAGAGAAGACAGATACAGAGAAGTAGAAATGGACTTAGAATCACAATGGGCACAATCTGTGGAGTGAGGGGCTGTGAGCACAGTGTGTCCAGAGGATGTAACTCTGTCTACGGACGTTGTTGTGACATAACATTCAGTAAGCAACTGTAGTTATTATTTTGAGCCCCATATTCTGTGTGTCTCATGTGCGGCATCGTCCCTGGCTCTGGAAACTACAGCGAGGCTGCAAAAACTGTGGTGTACTTCACTCCTTCCTCCTCTTCCTCTTTTTCCCCCACTTAGGGAAAAAAATGCCAGGGGAAAGTTAACCTCCTCGCCCAAACATTGATGTTCTCCAAGAATGCAAAACTTCCTATCAGAAGAGCAGCAGTCTTATTTGTAGGTATAAACAATCATTTCATTTCGACAGTCACTTTATCCTATATTTTCCCAAATTGTGTTGTTGGGTATCCCGGTTCTTTATGAAGATGACCTTGAAAACACTTCTTTGGAGAAAAGGGCTCTTATCTCTAGGTAACTGTCAGGCACTTGAAAGTCAAGTTTTAGAATCTAATTATCAAAAGACCAATTCTGCCAACTGCTTAGAGCCAAAGCCAGACCACAGCCTCACTGACTTTCTCCTGCATTTAGGACTCTTATTAAAGTACGTGGATCAAAATGAGCTCAGGATGAAGGGCACTGACTGGATAGAGAATGGTGAGTGATCACACACCTGGGTTTGGTTTGGAGTGCCTCACATTTCAAAAGGGATCGGAGGTGGTGGCTGTGGGCAGGCTGTCTGACAAAGCTCAAACCCTGGGAACTAGAGGACCTGACTTTTGCAATAATGAAGACTTTAGAGACCTCAGGTGAATGACAGTCTCATCCCAGTCCAAGTCCCCCCATTAGGAAAGGACACGACCCTACTGGTCTGGAAACCACTTTGATGAGTGTCTCAGGAACAATTCCTGATTCCACCTAGAAATACCATCTTAGTAAGTTATGACAATAGCTCCCAAGTACCCTTGGGGATGCCTACAGCACTATTTCCTATAAGTGGTTGTCCTGTGAGGGGGCAGGACTTGGTAATACAGAGGTTTGGAGTCCTATAAGGCAAGCCTCATGTAGATAAATGGTTTCCTGAATTGGCAGCGAGTGGAAATTTTCTATAACGATACAGCTCTGAAGATTTAGCTCTCAAAGAATTATTCCCACTTAAGAAGCAGTCGTACAGTTAGAAAATGCCATGAAAACACCAAGCCTCACAACTCAGAAGTATGTATTGTATTATGAGAACCAAATTAAAATCCTGGGGGCACCTGGCTGGCTTATTCGATAGAGCATGAGACTCTTGAACCCAGATGCTGAATTCAAGCCCCATGTTGGATGTAAAGATTACTCAAAAATAAAATCTTTCAGGGATGCCTGGGTGGCTGAGTTGGTTAAGTGTCCAACTCTTCATTTCAGCTCAGCTTGTGATCTCATGGTCGTGGGATTGAGTCCCACTTCAGGCTCCATGCTTAGCAAGGAGTCAGCTTCCCTTTTCCCTCTGCCCCTCCCCAGCTCTCTGTCTCTCAAATAAATAAATCTTGAGAAAAAAAAATCTTTAAAAAAAAATCCTGAACAATTCACTCCTTTTAAAATAAAAATATGTAACTGGTAAAATAGCCAAAAGCTGGACCTTATTTAAAAAAGATTATGAGAGTGGGAGGCCTGGGTAGCTCAGTCAGTTAAGCATCTGTCTTTGGCTCAGGTCATGATCCCAAGGTGCTGGGATCAAGTCCCAACATTGGGCTCCTTGCTCAGCAGGAAGGAAGCCTGCTTCTCCCACTGCCTGCCACTGCCCCCTGCTTGTGCTTACTCTCTCTCTCTCTCTCTCTCTCTCTCTGACAAATAAATAAAATCTTAAGAAAAAGAAAGATTATGAGGTGCAGCTCCTTGGTGACTTGGTCAGTTAAGCATCTGCCTTTGGCTCTAGTCACAATCACAATCCCAGGGTCCTGGGATCAAGCCCCACATTGAGCTCCCAGCTTAGTGGGAAGCCTGCTTCCCCCTCTCACTCTGCCTCCCACTCCCCCGGCTTGTGCTTTCTTTCTCTCTGGCAATAAATAAATAAAAACCTTTAAAAAAAGAAAAAGAAAGATTTTGTGAGGGATGCCTGGCTGGCCCAATCAATAGAGCATGCAACTCATGGTCTCAGGGTCATAAGTTTGAGCCCCACATCAAGGGTAGAGTTCATGTAAAATAAATTGATTAAATTAAAAGGAAAAATACTTGTAGAAAAAGATGATTAGGAATATTAACTAGATTTGTTGTAGTAGTAATCATTCTGTAGTATATACAGTGAGTTCCAGCCCCAAACTGAGAGTAGAGATTACTTAAAATCTTGGGGCACCTGGGTGGCTCAGTGGGTTAAAGCCTCTCTGTCTTAGGCTCAGGTCATGGTCCCAGGGTCCTGGGATTAAGCCCCGAGTCGGGCTCGCTCCTCGGCAGGGAGCCTACTTCCTCCTCTCTCTCTCTGCCTACCTGGGATCTCTGTCTGTCAAATGAATAGATAAAATCTTTAAGGGGGAAAAAAAAATCTTTAGGGGCAGCTAGCTGGCTCAGTCAGTTAAGTGTCTGCCTTTGGCTCTGGTCATGATCCCAGGGTTCTGGAATCAAGCCCCATTAGGCTCCCTGCTCAGCAGGGAATCTGCTTGTCCCTCTCCCTCTGCCTACCACCACTCCCAGCTTGTGCTCACTCACTCTCTCTCAAATAGACAAAATCCTTTAAAAAATTAAAAATAGGGGCACCTGGGAGGCTCAGTTGGTTAAACGGCTGCCTTCGGCTCAGGTCATGATCCCAGGGTCCTGGGATCAAGTCCCACATCTGGCTCCTCGCTCGGCAGGGAGCCTGCTTTTCTCTCTGTCCCTCTGTCTGCCATTCTGCCTGCTTGTGCTCTCTGTGTGTCAAATAAATAGATGAAATCTTTTTTAAAAAATTTAAAAATAAAATTTTTTAAAAATTTGATAAAGAGGGCGCCTGGGTGGCTAAGTTGGCTAAGTGACTGCCTTCGGCTCAGGTCATGATTCTGGAGTCCCCGAATCAAGTCCTACATCAGGCTCCCTGCTTCTGCATGTTCCAGCCAGGCACCCAAAAGCAGGTAGAAGCAGGGAGTCTGCTTCTACCTCTGACCTTCCCTCTTCTCATGTTCTCTCTCTCTCTCTCTCTCTCTCATTCTCTCTAATAAATAAAATCTTAAAAAAAAATTAAAAAGAAATAAAAAACTTCAAACTATGAAGATGCCCTGAGCACTTTCGAGTTCTTGGAGAATTGGAAATTAAAAACAAAGCCTTATCTAGGGGCACCTGGCTGGCTCAGTTTGTAAAGCATATGACTCTTGATCTTGGGGTCATGAGTTTGAGCCCCAAAGTGAGTGTAGAGATTACTTAATTAAATAAAACTTTTTTAAAAAGAGAGCTTTATCTAAGTACGATACCAAAGACAGATCCATAAAGTAAAAGAATGATAGATTTATCGATATAAAAAATTTTAAATCAACTTTGAAAAAAAGCAGACGAAACTGAAAACTAAACAAAAATTTAGGGAATATATTTGCAATATGATAAAGGGTTCATATCCTTTAAATAAATCAGTAGATCTCAAAAGAAAAGTGGAAAGTAGTATGAATAAGCAGTTCATAGGAGATGAATGGCCAATAAATGTATGAAAAATATTTACTATTACTAGTAATTAAAATTGTGAAAACAGGGGCACCTGGGTAGTGGGTAGGTTGGGCACCCAACTCTTGGTTTCTGCCCGGGTTGTGATCTTAGGGTTGTGAGCTCAAGCTCCATATGGGCTCTGTGCTCAGCATGGAGTCTGCTTGAGAGTCTTTCCCTCTCCCTCCCCGCTGCCCCTTTCCTGACTTGGTGCACGTGCACGCTTGCTCCCTCTCAAATAAATAAATAAAATCTTAAAAAAACATTTGGGGGCACCTGGGTGGCCCAGTCAGTTAAGCATTTGCCTTCAGCATAGCACAGGTCATGATCCCAAGGTCCTGGAATAGAGCCATATATCAGACTCCCTGCTCAGCAGGAGGCCACATCTCCCTCTCCCTCTGTTCCTTCTGTTCTCTCCCTCTCTCAAGTAAATTAATTAAATCTTTTTAAAAAATTAATTTTTCAAACTGTTTGTAAAACAAAACAATGATAAGAAATGAGTATGAGTTTTTCTGTCAAAATGGCAAAGAATACTAATTAATACCTAAGACAGATATGTTAAGGGAAAGCTGACATTATCTTTTTTTTTTTTTTTAGATTTTATTTATTTGACAGAGAGAGATCACAAGTAGGCAGAGAGGCAGGCAAAGAGAGAGGGGGAAGCAGGCTCCCTGCTGAGCAGAGAGCCTGATGCGGGACTCGATCCCAGGACCCTGGGACCATGCCCTGACCCAAAGACAGAGGCTTTAACCCACTGAGCCACCCAGGTGCCCCACATTATCTTTTTTTAAAGTTTATTATTAAAAAAATAATGTTTATTTATTTTTTTTAGTAATCTCTACACCCAGTGTTGGGCTTGAACTCATGACCCTGAGATCAAGAGTCACATGCTCTTCTGCATGTTCCAGCCAGGCACCCAAAAACTGACATTATCATATACTGTGCTGATGTGAGCATGGATTGATAACGCCTTTTTTACAGGGGAGTTTGGCAGTATGTGTCAAACCCTTTAAATAAATATATACTTTGACATATCAATCTCACTGCTAAGAACTTAACCTATGAAAATAAGCAGAAATCGGTACAGGAATGTTCATTCCAGTGTTATTTAAAATAGCAAAAAATGGAAAACATCCAAGATTAGAAATACAAAGAAATTAGTTTCATAAAGTATAGTATATCCATATTACAAAATCATATGAAGCCATGAAAAATATTTTTTTCTTTTTTTATTTTATTTTATTTTATTTATTTGACAGAGAGAGATCACAAGTAGACAGAGAGGCAGGCAGAGAGAGAGAGAGGGAAGCAGGCTCCCTGCTGAGCAGAGATCCCGATGCGGGACTTGATCCCAGAACCCTGCGATCATGACCTGAGCCAAAGGCAGAGGCTTTAACCACTGAGCCACCCAGGTGCCCCGAAAAATATTTTTTCAATTAAGTATAATCTCTATGCCCAACATGGGACTTGAACTCACAACCCCAAGATGAAAAGTTGCATGCTCTACCAACTAGGCCAGCCAGGCACCCCAAAGCTATGAAAAATATTACAGAAAGAAATTTTAATGACTTGGATAAGTAATGATGCAATATTAAATAAGCAATTATTAGGTAATATGTATAATGTGGTTCCATTTGAACAAAAAGGCACATGTGTAACTGAATAGAAAAAAGAAACAGAAACATAACAGTGATTTTCTCAGGTGGTCGAATGATGGGTAACTGATTTTCTTCTAGTGCTTATCTGTTATCTAAATTTTCTACACAATTAACATTTATTTATTTTGCAATAAGAAACATAAAAACTAAAAAAAAAAAATTAAGAAAAAAACTTAAAAGGGAGTAATGATTTAAGCGTAGCCTCTAGGACCAACACAAGAACTTAGAAATCAACCATCTTAAACATAGCTTGACAGGTACAGATGATTTGACTTTAGGTGGACTACTTAGCAGTGTGGTTATTGTAAAGGAAAAAAACTATTTGGCAATTCAAAGATGAATAAATTTCATGGGTCAAAATTGGAATTGATCTACAAATGTATAACTTTCAAATGGTCTTAGAAAAAGTTAGTCCTTTATCTCAGCTGCTATAGGCTTGTTGGCTGTTTGGGGTCTGGACCAGTGATCATTTCCATAGAGCTTCACCTCCAACCTGGGTTTTCTGACCATTTAGATCTGAGAGATCTGCTGGGTGATCCTGAGCCCTCCCTCCGCATCTTCGCCTCTCAGGCTCTTTTCCGAATGCACAAGTTGGGGGCTGAACCAGACTCCAGGCAGTCCGTTTGCGGGTTGAGGAAGCTCATGGGCTGTCTTCCTACTTAGAAATACAAGGTAAGTAACATCGGGTAAAAACTAATTCTTTCCGAAACCACAAAAACAATAGTGCCCCATTTTTTTAATCAGACTTCAAGCAATGTCAGCCTGAAGCTACCTCCACCCATTTAATTACCTCAGAACATATTTTTTGCTGTCCACATCTCTAAGAAATTAGAATATAGGGGCCCCTGGCTCAGTCAGTTAAGCGTCTGCCTTTGGCTCAAGTCATAATCCCCAAGGTCCTGGGATTGAGTCCCCGCATCAGGCTCCCCACTCAGTGGAGAGTCTGCTTCTATCTCTGCCTGGTGCTCCCCTTGCTTGTTCTCTCCCTCTCTCTCTCTCTGACAATAAATAAATAAAATCTTAAAAAAAAAAAAAAGAATTAGAATATGTAAGGGAGAGCAGCTCTTGGTTAAATCTGCAGAAATAGTGAAATTCTGCTGAGTTTTTGAGGCATGCCAGAACTGCCATGAAGTTACAGTCTTGGTAAACAGGTCGAGCACAGCTTCAAAAGAGATTCTAAATAAATGTTAATATTGCAATGTTAGGCATGGAGGTTCCTCATAAAGTTGAAAATAGAGCTACTGTATGACCCAGCAATTGCACTACTGGGTATTTACCCTAAAGATACAAACGTCGTGATCCGAAGGGGCATGTGCACCCAAGTGTTTACAGTAGCAGTGTCCACAATAGCCAAACTATGGAAAGAACCTAGATGAACATCAACAGATGAATGGATAAAGAAGATGTGGTATATATATACAACAGAATACTATGCAGCCATCAAAAGAAATGAAATCTTGCCGTTTGCAATGACATGGATGGAACTAGAGAGTATTATGCTTAGTGAATAAGTCAATCGGAGAAAGACAACTATCATATGATCTCCCTGCTATGAGGAAGTCGAGATGCAACGTGAGGGAGGTTGGGGGTAGGAAAAGAATAAATGAAACAAGATGGGATCAGGAGGGAGACAAACCATAAGAGACTCTTAATCTCTCAAAACAAACTGAGGGTTGCCGGGGGAGGTGGGTAGGAAGAGGGCAGTTGGGTTCTAGACATTGGGGAGGGTATGTCCTATGGTGAGTGCTGTGAAGTGTGTAAACCTGGCGATTCACAGACCTGTACCCCTGGGGCTAATAATACATTATGTGTTTATAAAAAAATTTAAAAATTATTAAAAAATATATTGCAATGTTAGTATCATCGGGTCTTTCATCAAAGCCCCATGTACTTGCCAACAATCTTAAGAATAAAGTAACAACCAATTCTCAAAGTTTGATATTTATTGATGTATTTTTATAAAATTCCTGTGGCCTTTCTCCTTCTTTGTCTTTACCTTAAAAACCTTGAAGCAAGAAAAAAATTTTGAAGTGATATAATACTAAATATACCCCAGTACTGTAAGATTTTCACTCTTTCCTTCCCTTTTTCATTTTCCTGATTCCCTCTCCTACAACCACTGTCAGATCCTCAAGTGACTCGAGGATAGGAACTAGTGTTTGTTGAGCACCCACTATCTGCTTTAAGCATAGATGGAGAACATTTTCAAGAAGTGTCCCCAAAAAGAGACTAGTTTGTGTTGGGTGAATACTTGGATAAGCTGCATGTAGAAGGGTGGGAACCCCCAAGAGGCATACCAGATTAATTAGAAATGGTCACTGTTGGTCTACTTGCCAGGCTTTTGATCGGTTGAGGAAGGTAAGTAGAAAGCCACAGCAGAACTGTCTAGGGCAATGGAGAGGCCTCCGGGATGTGGTATGAGAAAAGAGAGGAAATGAGTCAACTAGCATGTGAAAAACAGACACACCCAACGGTGAATTACATGAAGTTTTTGTTGTAAAGTGAGCAACACGAGTCCTCACCACCCTGTCCCCCCAATTTTCACCTTTCACCCCCAGCCCTCTGCCAAGACATCTTTATACACTTCTTTATGATTAATGGTGAGTTGGGTTTGTTTTAGGGGCTGTCTCAGTGTCACCTCAAGAGGATCCCTGCTCAAGGGAGGTCTTCACATTTGAGACTAGCAGTTAGAGGAGTTTTGAGCCAAGTGCAGACCCCAGCAGTCTGCTGAATTAAATCTTCACCCTTGAGCAGAGCCAAGAGGACACCCGGAGGATGGACGCTGGATGCTAAACTTCAGTGCACTGAGCACATTTGAATTGCTCATTGGCCTCACTGCATTAAACCACCTTCACTCTCCACTTTTGAACTATCCATTTTATGGGTTATTCAGTGAAAATAACACTTACTGAATGTTTACAATGAGCCAGATTCTAAGGACATTATATGATTAACTCTTTCAATCCTCGACCACTCCATGTATGGTTCTCTCCATTTTACATGTGGGAAAACTGAGGGACAGAAGATGAAAATGACTTGCCCTAAGTCATATAACTAGTGAATGCCGGGATTCAAACTCGAGTCTGGCCGCAAAGTCCACACCCTTGGCTGGTCGGCTCTGCCCTTTTCTCCTCTACTCTGTCCGTCTATGGTTAATAAATACAGAACTACTCTACCATGAATCCCAGTTGCTGAACTCATACTCCAAATTCATATAACCAAAAAAAAAAAAAAAAAATGTTGTAAAGTGATATTGAGCCCCAAATAATAAAAACAAAATTATCATACCTCATTTTTCAATAGAATAGAATGTGCTTCAAACACCGTGGAAGAGTGGACTTAGAACAAAAGGTGGTGGTTTTTCTTAAGAAATACTGCTTGAATCCTGGGTTTGATCGCATGTACTACCCTGTCTCATAGCAGTAAACAGACCTCAAGGTTTAGGATGTGGTTTAGATCCCCAGAGACATGTAAGAGTTTGAAAAGAATCCTTTCTCTTCACTCATCTTTATGCCAGAGTCCCTTTCCTTCCAAGCAGATTTTTATTTTCTGAGTAATACCACCAACAGGGAGGGGCACATACAGCACTTATTTATGTTTCATTGTGTTAAAATTCACAGAGAGAAGCATCCATTAAGAAGCAAAGGTCTGGGGTGCCTGGCGGGGCCAGTTTGTGGAACATGCAACTTGATATCGGAGTCGTGAGTTCAAGCCCAATGTTGGATATAGAGATTACTTGAAGAAGAAGAAGCAGCAGCAGAGGTCTGCTTTTTACTACCTCAACAGTTTGGGAAAGGCTGAAGTAGTACTTAATAATGACTACAGTAACAAGTCCTATAATTCTAAATATCTCCATTTTTTTTTTTTTACAAGGCTCTCCTCAGACATAGGTTTGTGTTTTATAGAATTTTTTAAATATACAAATCAACAATGTCTGGACATTTGTGTTATAATATGTTAAAAGTTCAATATAGTTGAATATGATTTCAGTTTTATTTTCATCATATACTATTAAAAGGTATTATTCACTATCTATTCTTGACCCAGCCAAGTCTTTATTATTTTAGAGTCTTACTTTTTTTACTCTGAATATTGTTTTACTTACTTGTACTGAGATACATCTTTATAAGAAATTACTTTTTTTTTTTTCTTATTGAAAGATTAAACTGGGGCGCCTGGGTGGATCAGTTGTTAACTGTCTGTCTGCGTTTGGCTCAGGTCATGATCCCAGCATCCTGGGATTGAGCCCCCCAGCATCCTGGGATTGAGCCCCCTATCAGGCTCCCCACTTGGCGGGAAGCCTGCTTCTTCTCCCTCTCCCACTCCCCCTGCTTATATTCCCTATCTCGCTGTGTCTCTCTCTGTCAAATAAATAAATAAAATCTTTAAAAAAAAAGATTAAACTATCATGTAAGTAAAAGATGGGATTGAGGGGAGGGTAGAATTTCTTAGACGTCAATCCTGTCAAGTAAACTTGCACTAGGTAAAACTGTAAAATCTCTCTCCTCTCAGATTCCCCCCTCCTTCCTGGCTCCAAGATCTTTTTCTATCCTTTCTCTAATGAACTGGTTGTTATGTGGAAATGATTAATAATGTAAGTTTTAATGACATTAAGTCTTCCAGGAATGTTTCCTTTTTTTTTTTTAAGATTTTATTTATTTATTTGACAGACAGAGATCACAAGTAGGCAGAGAGGCAGACAGAGAGTGGGGGGGGGCAGTGTCCCCTCTGAGCAGAGAGCCTGATGTGGGGCTCGATCCCAGCACCCTGGGATCATGACCTGAGCTGAAGACAGAGGCTTTAACCCACTGAGCCACCCAGGTACCATGTACGTTTGCTTTTTAATAAGGTAGAGGTCTTTTTTTTTTTTTTTTAAGATTTTATTTATTTGAGAGAGAGCGAGCCAGAGAGCACAAGCAGGGAGAGGGGCATAGGGAGAGGGCGAAGCCAACTCCCCACTGAGTATGGGACTCAATCCCAGAACCCAGAAATCATGACCTGAGCCAAAGGCAGACGGTTAACCAACTGAGCCACCCAAGAACTCAACAAGGAAGATCTCCTAAACCCAAGGCATGAATCTCTAATTGAGAAGTGTTAGGCATTATTGAGCATAATGGGGAGAGGAGATATTTGGAAATGAGGCTGGAGGTGATGGTGGGAAACAGAGATTTTCCTGTCATCCCAGAAACCATATCATAGCAGTTGCTTTCTTTTTTCTTTTTTTTTTTTTAAGATTTTTATTTATTTATTTGACAGAGAGAGAGAGAGATCACAAGTAGGCAGAGCAGCAGGCAGAGACGGGGAAGCAGACTCCTTGCTGAGCAGAGATCCAGATGCAGGGCTTGATCCCAGGATCCTGAGAGCATGACCTGAGCCAAAGGAAGAGGCTTAACCCACTGAGCCACCCAGGCACCCTTTATCATATTAGTTGCTTTCTCTGCCTCTTCCCAAACCCTTGTCAGAACACAGCAGAGGAAAAGGATTAGAAAGGGTAATTTACAACTGCCTTCTGTTACACAAAACACAGAGGGAAGTGATGGATTCTATTCTTCCTGAACAATGGTGAGGACTTCCCACCACAGAAGATGACTGTGTGCCCGTTATTGAATGATTTAGTGATGTCTTCTATACTTTCTCTCACCCTGTAGAGTTTATAGTCTGATCAAGGAAGATGGCACTGGTTTAAAATGGTTCCTGTGGATACCAAAGAATCTTTATGAAGGAGCTATCCGTCCCTCTCTCCCCCATTTTCTTTTAACAGAGATGATGGTGTGAATATAGAAAGGGACATTTTTAAAGGAAGCAGGGATATAGGAAGAGGTTACAAAGGGGATGGATCTGAGAATCTAGAAAGGATGCTCACCTGTGAATGAGATAAAGGTAGAAAGTTGAGACAGTACAGAAGATATATCAAATATGGAATCCAGCCTTATTGGGCCCTCGCACAGTGGTTTTTAGTGAAACCTTGCCCCAGACCACTTCAGAACACCACAATCAAAGAATCTGCCTCTCCAGTCACTCAAGTATATACAAGAGGTCACAGTTCTCCTTACTCTGTATAAGAATGTATCTCCCAGGGGCACCTGGGTGGCTCAGTGGGTTAAAGCCTCTGCCTTCGGCTCAGGTCATGACTCAGGTCATGGTCCCAGAGTCCTGGGATCGAGCCCCATGTCGGGCTCTCTGCTCAGCAGGGAGCCTGCTTCCCTCTCTCTCTGTCTCTGCCTGCCTCTCTGCCTACTTGTGGCCTCCGTCTGTCAAATAAGTAAATAAATAACCTTAAAAAAAAAAAAAAGAATGTATCTCCCAAACCTTTGTCTTTTAACCATCCACCAATCAAATCAAACCTACTAAATCCTGCTGACTTAAACTCTTGGTTGTTTATCAGATGATCTTAGGAAATCACTTTTGTGGCAAAAAGGGCAGGACGCTAAAAAGGAAAAGAATTTGTAGGCAGTTCAGGTATTCTGACCTTAAAATTAAAGAAACTGATTTTTCTAGGAAAGACAAGCGTTTCCCCTGCAAAAGCCTTGATGATTTTTAAGTTTTTTTGTTCTATTACTGCCCAGATTATCATTTCAGTTTTAACAGCCCACAGAATTATAAAGTCTGGCTAGCCAATCCCACTGCATTTTTAAAAAAGAATTTTTTTTTTCAAATAGGCATTAGGCCAAACACATTTCTACCACTTCCTTTGTGGTACTGTTTCAGAGCTTTAAATAATCTTGTCAGAATTTTTTTCTTTTTTCAGGTTTCTAAGCCAAAAGTCCTTTGCAAAATTATTTTCATCAACGGAATTATTCAAACAATTGAAAATGGCATTTAAAAAGTTATAAAAGGGTCTTTTAATTAAGAACTTAAGAACTTTTTGATACTTAACAATTAATGAAATTGTTATAGCATTCTCGTTTTTTAAAGAATCTTTTAAGATGTTTGAAATATTAATATTGCAATACCACCCAGGCCTTGACACCTCCAAAAGTGAAATAAAAACATGAAATAGGGGCGCCTGGGTGGCTCAGTGGGTTAAAGCCTCTGCCTTCGGCTCAGGTCATGATCCCCAGGTCCTGGGATCGAGCCCCACATCAAGCCCCGCATCTGGCTCTCTGTTCAGCAGGGAGCCTGCTTCCCTTCCCCTCTCTCTGCCTCCTCTCTGCCTACTTGTGATCTCTGTCAAATAAATAAATAAAATCTTTTAAAAATTTTTTAAAATAAAATGTTAATACATATGTTTTCAAAGTTCAGAAGTTATAAAATATTCCCAGCCAGGGGCACCTGGGTGGCTCAGTGGGTTAAGCCTCTGCCTTCAGCTCAGGTCATGATCTCAGGTTCCTGGGATCAAGTCCCACATCGGGCTCTCTGCTCGGAAGGGAGCCTGCTTCCTCCTCTCTCTCTCTCTCTCTGCTTGCCTCTCTGCCTACTTGTGATCTCTCTCTGTCAAATAAATAAAATCTTAAAAAAAAAAAATATTCTCAGCCATCCACTTCACCTCCCTGAAGGTATCATGCTACCAGTTTCTTAGATCTCCAAGGTAAAATTATGCATTTATGAGAAAATATGTGTATTCTCTTCCCTTTTTTCACAAATTATAGTATTCTATATACCTTACATTTTCTACACTTTGCACGTTCTCTCCTTAATATCTTTGAGATTTTTCTCTATTACTCCAAAAAGAGTTTTCTCATTCTTTATTCCTGCCCAGGATTTCATTTTACTTGTTATAATAATGGACACTTAGATAATTTCCAATCTTTGGCACAAAAAATGCTACAGTAACTACAGATATGTGTATTTCACACACGGTCAAGTGTGTCTTTAGAAGAAAATCCTGGGGTGCCTGAGTGGCTCAGTGTGTTAAAGCCTCTGCCTTCGGCTCAGGTCATGATCCCAGGGTCCTGGGATTAAGCCCCGCATCGGGCTCTCTGCTCAGCAGGAAGCCTGCATCCTCCTCTCTCTCTGCCTGCCTCTCTGCCTACTTGTGATCTCTGTCTGTCAAATAAATAAATATTAAAAAAAAAAAAAAAAGAAGAAGAAGAAAATCCTAAAAGTGGAATTGCCAGGTTGAAGGATATGTCACTTGTCATTTCAAATTAAAATATTGCCAAATGACTTTTATGGAGGTAATAACAGTTTTACCCCCCAGTGATGTAAGGGCATGCTTTTCTCCCTAC